ATCGGCGGAACAGCGAGTGCAACAGCTGCTCGTTCACGAAGAACTGGGAGATCGAAAACCGTCTGCATTTCTCCGACATCTCCGCTCCCTGGCAGGACCTAAGGTACCAGATGATTTTCTTCGTACTCTATGGGCTGGTAGGTTACCTCATAATTTACAAACAGTGATAGCAACGCAACCGAAAACAACTCAGCTACAAAGCCTTGGTGATCTAGCCGATAGTGTGTACGATCTAGTACCGAGCGTACCCCGCACCACACAAGTTGCGTCATTAAAAATTAATTCTCAATCAAATAATGACGTCATGACTGAGATGGCAAAACAAGTTGCAGAGCTTACTAAGCAAGTTGCATCGCTTCAGGCACAGCTATCGCGCTCTCGCTCTCACTCGAGATCTCGTCGTAGAAACCAGAATCGGTCTCGTTCTAATTCGAAGTACGGAGGCATATGCCGTTATCATGCGAGGTTCGGCAATAGAGCTTACAGGTGTTTGGCTCCCTGCAGCTTCCAGCCATCACACTCACCTGCGGGAAACGCCAGCGGCAGCCGACAGTAGCGGCTAACGACTGCCACACACACACCGGCCGCGTCTTCGTCACCGACAAAAACACCAAGGTACAGTTTCTTGTTGACACAGGATCTGACCTGTGCGTCTTTCCTAAATCAGCGATCCCGGAGCGTCGCCCGATAACGAAGTACGAATTGTTTGCGGCCAATAACACCGTCATACATACATATGGATACATAGATCTTTGCCTCAACCTCGGACTGCGCCGGGATTTCCGCTGGAGATTCATCGTGGCCGACATTTTAAAACCCATCATAGGTGTGGACTTCTTGAGTTATTATAACCTGATCGTGGACTGCCGCCGCCACCTCCTCATCGATGGATTGACCTCACTCTCCGTTCATGTGCCACACTACAGTACATCGGCTACTCCAGAGTCAGTGACTGTAAAGGCTGTAACAGGGGACTCACCTTACCATAATCTCCTACGCCAATTCCCGGAGATCACAAGGCCAGCGGGTGCTCCTAGAGAGATAAAGAATAAGACACTACATCACATACGTACCACTCCTGGCCCTCCGGTCACAGCACGTCCTCGTCGTCTAGCTCCAGATAGACTCCAGGTGGCTAGAAAAGAGTTTGAAGATATGCTTACCAATGGTACTGCGCGTCGTTCACAGAGCTGCTGGGCGTCTCCACTCCACCTGTGTAAGAAAAAAGATGATGGTTGGCGTCCGTGCGGTGATTATCGTGGCCTTAATGCCAGAACTATACCGGATAAGTACCCAATAAGACACATACACGATTTCGCTTACCAGCTTTCGGGAGTCCAGGTGTTCTCCAAAATAGACCTGGTCAAAGCCTATAATCAGATCGCCGTCGCTGAAGAAGATATCCCGAAAACAGCCATTACCACTCCTTTTGGGCTTTTTGAGTTTCCATTCATGACCATTGGATTAAGGAATGCGGCGCAGACATTTCAGCGCTTTATAGACGAAGTATTACAAGGCCTGGATTATACTTTCGGATATATTGAGGACATTTTAGTATTTTCCCAGTCACACCTGGAACACCTGGAACACCTGGAAGCCGTATTTACCCGTCTTAAGAAATATGGATTGCTGATAAATACCTCTAAGTGCATCTTGGGCGCTACGGACATCACATTCCTCGGTTAAAACGTGTCTTCAAATGGTATACGCCCTCTCGACGATAAGGTGAGGGCCATTCAAGAGTTTCCCGTACCAAGAACCGCAAAAGAGCTTCGTCGTTTTCTGGGAATGACAAATTATTATAGACGATTTGTCCCAAACGCCGCTAGAATTCAAGGCCCGCTCAACGCAGCATTGTCAGGTCCCAATATGAAAGGATCGACGCCTATAAATATGACCCCAGAGCTTCTACGCGCCTTTGAAGACTGCAAGCAGAGCCTTTCACAAGCAGCGCTTCTGGCTCACATCAATTGTCGTGCTGAGCTAGCCATCTTCACCGACGCCTCGGACGTAGCCATTGGCGCGGTACTGCAGCAAAGGTCTGATACAGGAGACTGGCAACCACTAGGATTTTTTTCTAGAAAGCTAACTGACGCTCAAAGGAACTATAGCCCCTATGATAGGGAGATGCTGGCTATTTATGAAGGAATTAAATATTTTCGCTACATGGTTGAGGCGCGAACATTCTCGGTGTTCACCGACCATAAGCCTATAACGTTTGCCTTCACTACTAAACGCGACAATTGCTCACCTAGACAGCTGCGATACCTTCACTATATCGCACAATTTACAACAGACATCCGTCACGTGGCTGGAAAGGACAACGTAGTCGCTAATAGTCTTTCGCGAGTAGTAGCTATCACCGACATGGTAGATTACAAGAAACTCGCAAAGGATCAGGATACGGACCCAGAATTACAAGCCCTTCTCGACCGCGGTACTTCCCTGAAGCTGCAGAAGGTCCCCACTTCAGAGGCAACTCTCTACTGCGACCTCTCAATGTCGAACCCGCGTCCATATGTCACGCCGGCGTTCAGGAAGCAGATATTCTTCAGTCTCCACAGACTGAGCCATCCTGGCAGATCAGCTTCACCTAAGTTGGTTGCTCAACGGTTCGTCTGGCCTGGCATACGCAAAGACTGCAGAGCCTGGGCCAAGGAATGCACAGACTGCCAACGCAATAAAGTTACCCGTCATACCCGTTCTCCTCTTGCTACATTCCCTGTCCCTTCCCAACGATTCTCCCACGTTCACCTGGATCTAATCGGTCCTTTACCAATATCACGTGGTTACAGGTACTGTCTCACGGCAATCGACCGTTTTACTCGCTGGCCTGAGGTATACCCAATCACGGACATTACTGCAGACACCTGCGCTCGCGCCTTCGTGTCGGGCTGGCTGGCCCGCTTTGGCTGCCCCCTCAACATAACCACTGATCGCGGAAGGCAATTTGAGTCACAGCTGTTTCGGTCCATGGCAAGCTTCATTGGTGCTAAATATTGTCCTACCACGGCCTATCATCCAGCCGCCAACGGATTGGTGGAGAGAATGCACCGACAACTGAAGGCAGCAATCATGTTCCACAACCACTCAAACTGGTCTGAGATCCTTCCCTTAGTACTCTTGGGAATAAGGAGTGCATGGAAAGAGGACATCGAGACTTCAGCGGCGGAGCTCGTCTACGGGAAACCGCTGCGCTTACCAGGCGAATTTTTCGTGCCGCCTCGTCATGACCTACCTTTACGAGTAGACCTCACAGATTTCGCCAGTCGTCTTCGCAATCACGTCAGCAGATTGTCTCCGGTACAGACGAGTACTCACAATAAGAGCAGAACTTTCTACTTACCCAAGGACATATTTACCTCTGATTATGTGTTCTTACGTTTGGGTCCTATACGAGGGTCGCTTGAATCGCCATACTGCGGGCCCTACAAAGTTCTCGAAAAAGGTCCTAAAACCTTTAAATTAGAAGTCCAAGGAAAGGAGATGACTGTGACGATCGACCGAATCAAACCAGCACACATGACCAGGAATGACGATACCATCACCCTCACGGACACTACCACACCTCCACCTGACACCACCACACCTTCTCCTGACACAGCTGATGCTCCAAGAAAAACTAGGAGCGGTAGAATAGTTCGTTTCCCTAATTACTATCGACCTTAAAAAGGTCTCGGTGGGGGAGTATTGTAGTGTGTCTAAACACTAAAATTTCATTTTCATTTTTATCCTAAAAATATTTGTTAAGTTCTTGTTATTGTTAAAAACCTATTTATATCCAATTAGTATGGTTAACAATCATAATAGAAATTAACTTCATTCAAAATAAAATTTTTGTTCTTGTATAAAATAAATAAACCTCTTGCCTAGGGTGTACACTGTTTCGATAAATTACTGGAGGGTGGTCAGTAATCGCGCGCTTGGGGAGTGCGATACGTAAGGAGAAATAATTAACAGCGGTTTATGTTTTTGTACAAAATATTCTTGTAAATAGATTGTTTACTCGTGAATATAAACTGTATACTTAGTGTTAGTGTTGTGAAGTGATAATAAACTGTACAAGACTACTTCTTGGGGACTTTTACTGGCTGCTCATGAGATTCATCGCTCGGCTACACACTAGAAGGTACGGTCCTGTATTATTCACTTCAGCGGTAATAGTATCCCATGTCCTTCCCCAGTCTGTTAGTGCCCCAAGAATCAAATTATTTCCTTACCAAATTTCATCTAACTCGGTGCAGCGGTTATTGATTCCCTATATAAACTTCCACTACCCTTTTCGCCCCCTTAAAGGATGATTGTTTTGATAATAATAATAATAATATTCTACCACATACACACAACGCCATCTAGTCCCAAACTAAGCAGAGCTTGTACTATGGCTACTAGACAACTGATATAAATACATATATACTTTTTTTTTTGTAAATACATACATATTATACATAGAAACACCCAGACCAAATCAAACATCAAATGTTCATGCACACAAATGTTTGACTTGAGCGGGAATCGAACCCGCGACCTTTGGAATAGCAGTCCGTTACACAAACCACTACGCCATCCGGTCGTCAAAAAAACGATCCTTACTCGGGACTCAAACTATATCTATATCAAATTTCATACAAATCGGTTCAGCGGTTTAAGCGTGAAGAAGTACCAAACAGACACACTTTCGCATTTATAATATTGGTATGGACTAGTGTAGATTGTTTTAAGGACTCCTGACCACTAAACTTCCTCACGACATGACCCTTGGCAACAGAAGCAACATCTCCCTTCTCTACTTTTCTTAAAGAAAAGGTCTCTCATTCTCCATCTCTCTAAACCTGAAATCAATACAGCATTATAACCTTAACATGGAACTATAGAGGTTTTATTTTATTTTTCTACAACAAAATATATTTTATCTATGATCCCTTTTCACTTTGATACTTACACTAATATTTTTTAATTAATCTTTATATTTTATACATTTTTAAGCTTTTTACACAATAATGCAGGAACATAAAGAATCTGCAACCTTATTTCACAATAATGAGTCGTACCGTTCTTGGAAGTCTGATAACAATTTGACAATTCTGATGAGTAGTGACCTGAGTGATTGCCCATCTATTGACCCTCCTGGCACTCAACACCTGACGATAGACTTTACGCCAGATGAACAACGTGACAACGACTTTGTGCAGAACAAATGCTGTGATTTTTGGGACTTCATTCACAGTATACCTGAAATACAGCATTTGATGGTTATGCCGGTAACAAATTCTCATATTAAAGTAGTTCGTATAGGTCTCTTGCTTAGTGACTCTGACTGCTAAACCAGAGGTTATAGGTTCGATTCCCACCCAGGACAAAAAAATTGTTTGTGCTGTGTCTGCCTATAATTTGTCTATTTTGTCTCAGTGTAGCGGGAGCTTGTAATATTAGTTCATATTTAGTAACTTTCTGGTGGTTTTGAGTATTTTCACGGCCTACCCAAATGTCTTGCTGGCAAGAGAGTCGCGCTTCGGGTCGTTGATCTTGACTAATATCGGTTAAGCCACACGATGGCTGGTGCCCGTATACCGTTTGTATGGACAGGCCGACTCAAAACTATGGTCCTTTCTTCAAAAAGCCTACCCAGTCCCTCGCTACTGCACTCGAATAATTTTCAGTAACATTATTCACGGACTAAAAAAAAGACCTCTGTGGTTTGTTTCAGCGTTTCTTCCCAGAGTCAGTCTTAGGAAATGCCGATGCCTTCCACGGAACTACTACTACAAAAAAAAAGTAAATAAGTATTCTATCAGTCAAGCTCTGCTTAGTTTTAAACTAGATGGCGTTGTGTGTCAGATATTCGAAAATATTATTAAATTAATATATTTCTAAACACAACATAAATATGACTTAGACATCAATTAATATCTGTGATTATTTCAGGAAATAATTGAAACTCCCGTCCCTTCTGTCCCCACAGAAGATATACCTGAGACTGTTGTGAACGTCGTAGAAGAGGACAGTAGTAAGGTAGAATCAAAAGAGAGAAATGCCTTGTCTATGCTCGAGTTCGCCAAACAGAAAGGTGCCTATTTCTTTGGTAAAAGTAGATATTTGAGAAACAGTTGGCACATCTGATCGCAGTTAAACCCACTGTTCCGTAGTCACTCAGCCTGTGATCATGGCCAATGCAACCTGGTCGAAACGTCAGGTATTTTAAAGGTATCGCTATTTGCAATGATTTGAGAATGCATGTCTACAAGGTATCGTATGGAACTTATACACAATACCCTTTTTTTTACGTGTGTAAACCCCTTCGGGCCGTCACCCCACCGGGGAGGGGTGGTGTGTCGGAATTGGACCGACTATAACCATACGTTGTGCCACTCTGCGCCTGTAATAGGAGGGATCAGGGAACTGCTGTTATAAAGACAACACAACACAATATATTTATGTGTGGAGGTACGGGTGTCATGTCCCTTCAACACAAAGGGAGGATCTTCCGACCAGGCGAGGTGATCATGCCTGGCGGGCCGAGGCCCAACGGTTGATGTTGGGAAGTTGTATATATGCTAATCGGCGAGGGAATTCTTCATATCGCGATACAGGATTAGCAATTCTTATTTTAGTAGTTACTCCGTCGTTCGGTGTGTCTTCATTAGATGGCGCTGTAGTATGTTTATGTGTCGAGTCGCCACATATGAATATATGTCTATGACGTTTGAGAAATAAAATTAATTAACTTAAGTGACTGTTTATTCCAGGTCTTATAAATCGCACATTTGAAGTGAAGATGCCTCGGTCTCAGTGCACGCTCGGTTCCAGGGAGTACAAAGATTTTGGAAATGGCACGCAGAGTAAAATAAAGACAGGTAATTTTTGGATGGTTATTTTTCGTAGACCTTTAATTTAAGTCTTTGTAGTGACTTAGCCTTGTAAACTAGACTACTTCTCTATTTATTTCTATCAATGTCGACTGCACGGATGGCGTAGTGGTTTAAGCGGTCGCCACGCCGCTTCCTACTACGCCGAGTGTTGTGGGTTCAAACCCCACATGGGACGACACTTTGTGTGATCCACAAATTGTTGTTCTGAGTCTGGGTGTTCTTTGTGCGGGAGTTGTCTTTTAAAAAAAAAAAAAAAAAAAAATGTAGTCATTTTCTTCTTTACATTATTTTCCGTTAAAACTAGAGGTGCCCTCTCCCCATTAAAACTTGAGAGGGCAAACAAGGGGTGGTAACGGACATGTTTCTCTTGAGCTGCCGGAATCAATTAGCGGCAATAGTCATATACCATCAAGTGACCCTCATTCGCCTCTATTACATAAAAAAAAAGACGTGTGGCACTCGGGGACTGCCGCGGTAAAACTATTGCATAGCATTTTTATCAAGTTATGCAATTATAATTATTTATTTATTTTATTTATGTTTTATTTTTTTCTTTGATATTAATTCAATTTACACTTTTTGAGCGTTGTGACCGAGAAGAAAACAATTTTTTTTCTTTTATTAAATAAATGAGAAGTTAATATTGTTCATAATATTTTGATTATCTTACAATACATGTAGGTTATTCAGGAATATTTATCATTGAAACTATAGGTTTATGGTAACTGAAATAAGAAACATAAGTTTGAGACTTGATATCTTCTAAATATCTGGTAAATACCGCGTCACAACCAATGCCACCTAGAGGCGAGTTGTTGAACTAAAGAGACAAGCGTGATATTTCAAAAAAGTCATTAAAAGTTCTGCTATTCATCGATAGATGGCACAACTAAAAAGTATCACCGCTGTGCCGGTCGGAGTGACGGGTGTTAGGTTATTTTCGTTACGGAATTTCTGGATTCGGTCTCCACGCTCAAGGCCCGCGATAGAAGCTATGCAATAGCTTAACTACACCAAGGAATATTCTTTTCCTTAAATATATTTCTTTTTTATTCATTTTGTTCCGATATGAAGTGTCGAAAAGTATTTCTAGCAAAGATTTGTAAGGTGTTTGTGACTCCGGAGTTGCAAACGTTCATGGGCGGCGTTAGCCGCTTTCCATCGGGTGACGCGTCTGCTCGTCTGCCCCCTTTTCAGTAAAAAAAAGATCAATTCTCTAGTAGTTGAACATTTCTAGAGAAAAGTTTTCATAAAGAATAAACTCAGAACTTTTGAAATACCTTGACGCACTGTTAAACACCACCACCGGAGGTTACAGATTACAGGAGACTCGTGTGCTTTCTTTGTAACGTATTTTTTTATAATTTTCTTAATTTCATAATGATTAACGTATGACTATAACTGAAGGCTAGAGAATTTAATACTGGTCTACCATTACAGAACAATGCTATTCCTGTTTACAAAAACCTAGTGGTTCCACCTCTTCTCTCGTGGTGTGTCCTTGTGAGGACGGCAAGCCTACATCATTAAAAACACTCGTCCAGAGCATGCAAGATTGGGACGCAAAACATCCAAAGTTTGTATTATTTTTTACCACCTAATGCCATCTAGTGGCGAGTGTTTGAATATTCGCCACTACATTGCATAAGAGGTCTCAAACTCTGAATCTGTCACTACTGTCAACCTGGAAAACCCTAAAACTAAATGTAGTATCGTAAATGTAGAATTTTAACAGAGCAGAAATGGTTTTATATTAATATACAGGTTATATAGTTGACTTTCACTGCACGGATGGCGTAGTGGTTGAAGCGGTCGCCACGCCGCTTCCTACTGCGCCGAGTGTTGTGGGTTCAAACCCCACATGGGACGACACTTTGTGTGATCCACAAATTGTTGTTCTGAGTCTGGGTGTTCTTTGTGTCCGTTTCATGTATGTTTGTAAAGTCCCCCGCGACACAGGATATATTCCTAATGCGGGAGTTGTCTTTTTTAAGAAGAAGAAAGAAATATACCAAATGACCCAAGGCACAGCAGACCCAAGGCATGCATACCATCTGCAGGACGCCAGGATGACTACACATAAAAGGAATTAGTCAAAACGCTTTATAATGTCTTGTGCAGAGCGTTGCATTGTAAATTAAGTTGAAGAAATTGCAAGAAGATGAAGATAATGAGTCCGTGTGGTGACGGATTAAGAATATGGAGTGTCACCATCCCCCTACATCCCGTGGGTGTCGTAAGAGCCGACTAAGGGAAAAAACTACGCAGAACACCAGCACTGCAGAGAGAAGGAAAACTTGACACAAACCCTATACCAACCCGTCTGGCCAGCGTTGTATAGTAGGCCAAAACCTCCTTTCTAAGGATAGGCCTATGTCCAGCAGTGGACTATTAATAGCTGTTGATGTGATGTGAAGATAATGACAAATGAGACATCACGTATTCGCGTATGTTCGTCAAGGGTTTTTCTTTTTCGATACGCTTTTTCCATATTAGTTTTCCTTGGAAACATTTTAGTGTTAATCGTACAATGAAAAATGATTTGTGATCGAATGTCAACTACCAGTAAATAATAAATTAGAGTAACTTTTGTTTGTTTAGGTCCATGAAGCCCCCCTCTCATCCTGCACGGCTGCAGCACTGCATACAGCAAAGAAACACGATCACTGACTTGGAAAGTTAAAGAATACTTTTAGAGTTTTTATTTTTTTAGAATTAACATTATTATTCCTAGCATGTTTATTTATGTTATTTTTGAGAGTAATTTATTTTTTAATAATACATATATTTCTTAGTTTTACTTTTACTTTGTGTTTTTTACAACCATTAGTCTTTATGATAAAACTATCTTTTGCCCTCGGCCCTGCCCGCGTGTATGTCGGTTGTCGCGATAAAAGTAGCCTATGTTACTCGCTCATAATGTAGCTTTTGATTACTGGAAGAATTTTCAAAATCGGTTCAGTGGTTTAGGCGTGAAAGCATAACAAACAAACAAACTCACTTTCACATTTAAAATATAAGTTTGAGTATTAAAGTGAGTTCTAATAAAAATTCAAAAAATTAAATGGCGAGTCCATTAAAAATAACATTATGTTACACCATCTCTATTTTGTCAAAAACATGTCACTTATTACGAAATAAATATTAAAAACAACTTACTTGATAGACAACTATATTTCGGCACATATTGAAGTTATGCCGCAATCTCACAGAAAACCGGTGATAGGCAATTCTTTCCTTGCGTTGCACCGAGTGACATTACCGGAAGAATTACAGTTTCAGCCTTAAGTTCCATCCGAGACTTATTATCCCTTGCCCTATTCCTTTTGGCTATCACGACACACCTTAATTCTTTCTCCCATGAACTAAGAACCCAATAAATTCCTGGAAAGTTTTTTGTCACGTCAGAAGCCCGGCCATAGGAGAGCCCAGCCTACGTGCTATTCAATAGAAAAAAGGGTACGAGATGATGATGGTTAGTACAACAAACACGTAACATAAAACAAATAAATAAAACACATTACGTTTATTTCTGAGTATTATATTTCCCAATATATTCCTGTCTTGATACTCGACTCGACTTCGATATTGATACTCGTGACCTTATAATTTCACGGCAATACTTTATATTATTATAATATCTAACTCAATATGTTTATCAGCAGTTTAATTACCATAATACAGTCTCTGCCTAGTTTGAGATCAGACTGTCTTGTGTGAGATGGTCAAAGTTATTATTTTTATTATTAACTGTACATAAGTAATGGAGTTGTGATCTTGGAAATAATTTATCTCTGCCAAAATACAAAATATATCCACCAAAGAGGCGGATACTTACAATTTGACATGTGTCAATTGTGTCTATCAAAGAATACCTATCCTATGCCAATACTATTGTAGGTGTCTTGTGTTAAATATCTAATTTTCTAATTATATACATATTTAAATGTTAAAATGGAAACTTTGAAGAATTCTTCAGAAATATATGATAATGATTCATCTAGCAACTCAACCTCAACTCCTGAAAAGATAAATAGTTGTACTTTCGATAATCCAGATATATTCAGTGTATTTGGCGATGCGTCGTGTGGGGAACCGTTTTGTGCACAAAAATTGCAATTAGATTTCACTCCGGACGAAGAAATCGACAACGAATATGTTCAAAAGAAGTGCTGTGCATTTTGGAATTTTATCTACAGCCAGCCTGAAATACAGAATTTAATGGTTAAACCGGTATGATATTATATATTTTTACTAGCTGACCCGGCAAAAGTTGTATTGCAAAACAAAAAAAATTAGGGATGGGTCACCCTTACCATTTAGGGGTATGAAAAATAGATGTTGGCCGATTCTCAGACCTACCCGATGTGCACACAAAATTTCATGAGAATCGGTCAAGCCGTTTCGGAGGAGTACGGGAACGAACATTGTGACACGATAATTTTATATATAAGATTACATTGCGGAGGAGGAGAGCCATTCCTCGGCACATTAGGGTCGCGTCAATCGAATTGATGCCACGGCATCACAGAAAACCAGCGTTATCTATGTATAGCTCGCTATGTTAGTGCGGTCTAGAAATAACCTATGTGCGTGTTCACTGGTCGTGTGGAGTGTAGGGACCCTAGCTACACTGAGAGTTACTGCCACTCGTCGTACTCACTGAAATAAAAGCCAATGAGTCCCAAGGATAGATGAATTTTTTTGCCCAAAATACTTAATAATACCAAATGCTTGTAATACCAAGTGCAGAGTAACTTGCCGAACACTTTTGTCACGCTCTGATACAAAACTGTTGACACGCAATTCATTCATACTTACAGTTCGTTGTTTTCACCGAATGTAACTGAAGGTTTTTTTATGATTAAAGGGGCAAACAAGTAGACTGGTCACTTTGTGGTAAGTGACTACCGACACCCAAGTCACCTTCAGCTCAAGAGATACCAGAATATTGCCTCCGTTTGAGTGTCCAAAATTATTAGGTGCTCGGATGACGTAGTGACTTAAAAGGTCGCCACGCCGCTGCATATTACGCTAAGTGTTGTGGGTTCGATCCCCATATGGGACATCACTTTGTGTTATCCACAAATTGACATTCTGAATCTAGGTGTTCTTTGTGTCCGATTGAAGTATGTTTTTAAAGCCCCCGCGACACAGGATATATTTCTAGTGAAGGACTTGTCTTTTATAAAAAAGTATGAGTTAGACCTTCGGAGCATGGTTCTCCCACGGTAATATATAACCAAATTTTTGCCGTTTCAAATTTCACTACAATTGATGTAGCAAATGGGATGTTTCTGTTGTACCACGTGATTTATTCCTGAAAGAACTCAATTGTCATTTATAACTAATTATCCTAATTAACTAAAGTCCGTGTGGTGACGTATTAAGAATACAAATTGCCACCACCCCAATTCATCCCGTGGGTGTCGTAAGAGCCGACTAAGGGAGCAAACTAAGCAGGACAACAACACTGCAAAGAGAAGGAAAACTTGAAACAAACCCTATTCCAACCCGTCTGGCCAGCGTGGTATAGTAGGCCAAAACCTACTTTCTAAGGAGAGGCTTATGTCCAGCAGTGGACTGGTATAGGCTGTTGATGAACTAATTATCCAACCGAACAAACTTTATAATGTATAATTTACAAAGCACAATCTTAATCACACTTTCAGCAAAAGAACGTAGACCTGCAATCCATTGGGATTTACGGGGACAGCGTGTCCAGCATGGATGATGAAACTGCAGAAATAGAATCAAGAGATCTAAAAGAGAGGACGGCCTTATCTATGCTTGAGTTCGTTGAAGATAAAGGTAGGTTTATAGCCCTAATTTATCATATCAACATTATATTTGGTTTACAATATTTTTTTGATCAAGAAGAAGATAAGTGTAAAAAGTAGTTTAGAGTGATTAAGTGACTTTGCTGCTGCTTAAACGACAAAACAGGGATTTGGCGACTTACCTGACGACTTTTGGAGTACAAATTTGAAATAGGTCTGAATAATCAGTTTATTTTCCTAAAACTTGTTTTTCACAAGAAAACTCGTCCTTTGGAACACGTTTTATGTCAACATGACTTGATGGGTCTGTTGGTCTAGTGGGTCTAGTGGTTAGTGACCCTGACTGCTAAACCAGAGGTCATGGGTACAAATATAGTGTGATGAGCACGGTCATTTGTTCTGTGTCTGTGTGTAATTTATCTATAATATGGATCTATTTAAAAATATATAAGTATTTTTATAGCAGTCTGGTTACCATAGTACAGGTTCTGCCTAGTTTGAGATCAGACGGCCGTGTGTGAGATGTGTGAGATATATTATTATTACTTCAACAAAAATTAAATCACGTTTCATTTTTTCGATAAGTAGTGATTTGTAAATAAGTATTCAGTCATGGTCATATGAAACTGACACCGTTCTAAATTTACCGAGTTACAGTAAAAAACGTTGTCCGTGTGGTGACGGAATAAGAATACGTAATGTCACCACCCATATTCATCCCGTGGGTGTCGTAAGAGCCGACTGAGGGACCAAACTACGCAGGACAACAGCACTGCAAAGAGAAGGAAAACTTGAAACAAACCCTATACCAACCCGTCTGGCCAGCGTGGTATAGTAGGCCAAAACCTCCTTTCTAAGGAGAGGCCTATGTCCAGCAGTGGACTGTTATAGGCTGTTGATGATGATGATGAGTAAAAAACAAAAAAAAAATGAATGTACTAATTACAAGTGCAAAAATTAAATCTTGGCAGAATCTGTTGGGATTTTTCAAAAGAGTACAGTTTTATACAAATTTGTATTTTGTGGCTGCTCAACTATACAGAAAGTCAAAGTGACGCTAATACATTTAAGAAGAAACAGTGCCAGTCGAAGTCATCTCTAAAAAACCGCAAAGCCGATCTCCTAGGCAATTCTTTGCATCCAACTCAAATTTGGATGACTGGGGAAACGTAGCGCCAACCATACCGTGGTACACAAACATCAGTGTCATGTCATAAGTCAGTGTCAGTGTCTTAAGTCGTGTGGGCCTGATGGAATCCCTCCGATCGTGTTGAAAACGTGTGCTCCGGAGTTGGAACCGGTTTTAACGCGCCCTTTTCGACTCTCCTACTCCATAAGCGTGTGTGTGTAATTGGGTCACCAGTTTTCTTGCGGACAGAAGCATTAAGGTCGTTGTTGACGGTGCATGCTCCGACTTGAAATCCGTAAATGCTGGTGTCCCGCAAGGCTGTGTGCTATCACCCACACTGTTTCTTCTGCATATCAATGAGATGTTGTAAACTAGTAGCATCCATTCGTATGCAGTTGATAGCATGGGTGATAGCGGGGGCGGCCGCCCCAATATTTCTCGGAAAAACGTCATCGAAACTCGAAACAAACTTGTGTCTGAAATTGAAACTTCCTTAGCGGAGGTTTCAGATTGGGGCCGACCAAAGCTGGTCCAGTTCAACCCAAAAAAGACACAAGTCTGTGCGTGTGACTGCAAAGAAGATACCATTTGTCGTATCAACTCGGTTTGAGAGCACCTTCCTAACTGCCTCAGCAGAATCCTAGGCATTGACATATCGAGCGAAGTCCAGTTTCGGGGTCACTTAGAGTGTAAGGTTAGATTGGCCTCGAAGAAGCTCGGTGTGCTGAACGACCATCGACCATCGGAGTAACAAATTACTCCTGGAGTGTAGACGTTCATGGGCGCCAATGTTCGCTTTCCATCAGGTGACCCGTCTGCTCATCAGCCCCCTCTAACATAAAAGAAACACAATAATCGTTCAAATGGTTAAGTGAAATGTTTGATTACTTATTATTGTTACCCACCTAAGTTTTTATACTAAAACCTAATTATTTGTTCGTAAATTACAGCATCCGTTTTTGAGCGGCGTTCAATACTCTATTCCAATTTTTGATTTTGACTTTGACTCCAATTCTGCACTTTGTGACTTGCTAACCTAACTCGTTAATCTATGAACTTGTTCTACTGATAGCAGCTATGCTTAGCATAGCATATGTGTAGACCTGAGACATGAGGAGATATATTCAAGTAGTTTATTTTAATTATCTTCGATCTCAGAATTTTACTACCTCGTCATTCATACGAATATTTTTTTTGGCACTTAGGCGAAAATACAAGGTGCGTGTCTAACTTGTGTTAGTTATATAAAATTTAATATATATTCTACCACATACACACAACGCCATCTAGTCCCAAACTAAGCAGAGCTTGTACTATGGGTACTAGACAACTGATATAAATACATATATACCTTTTTTTTTTGTAAATACACACATATTATACATAGAAACACCCAGACCAAATCAAACATCAAATGTTCATGCACACAAATGTTTGACTTGAGCGGGAATCGAACCCGCGACCTTTGGAATAGCAATCCGTTACCCAAACCACTACGCCATCCAGTCGTCAAATTAGACTGGTGGTCCTATAAGACTGTTTTCATTGTTTATGTTTTCAGTTTTCACTGTTAATGTTCTGTTTTCAATTATCACTGCATTAACTTTAACTTTCAGGTCTTATAGACCGCACGTTTGAAGCCAAGATACACGAATCTCATTGCACAATGGGCTCCAGGGAGTATAAAGAACTGGAAAAACCCAAGAAAAACCTTAAACCTGGTATTTATTTTGCTATATTTTTACATACATATCATTCCTCCGGTTTCTGTTATTAAAATTGATCATTGAATCTTGAGAAGGCTTCAGTATCATGACCTGATATTTCTTCAGGTCCATGTGCTCCCTGTGGTGGTATTTCTGGCCCATGTCCATGTATTTCCCCCGAGCCCTGTGCGTTAAAAGCACTGGTCAGGAGCATGCAAGATTGGGATGCGAAACATCCAAAGTAAGTAATATTTACCCAAATTTTTGAGGCCAGAAGTAATAAATAAAGTAAACTTGGTTATTATCATTAAAAACTAATAATTCCTAAAAACTTCACTAGATTTCTTAAAATATGACTAGGGTAAAAAAAAAGAATTCTAAAGTATTTTAGCAAAATCCCTACAATTCATCAACATTTTAATATTCATTATTAATGTGTAATTTTTCAATGTGATTTCTGTACAAAAAATTACTAATTTTCGCAAAGTATTGTGAGAGTCTTACAGAACTTTCAGGAAATTTCTGTACTACCATAAATATGACTACACACACTTCTATATGCATTTAGTAGGGTGGTTACACAATACTATAATCACTAACTCTGTATATTCATATCAAATAAAAATAATCTTGTTTAGGTCCCTCGAGGAACCAAGTCACCCTCCATCACTCCAGCACGGCATTCTCCAAAGACAAGCGGAGTCCACGAGCCATTCTGACTGAACTGTTGCATCATCTTTTTTTTTAATAACTTAATAGTAGAATTACTTTATTAAATAATATTATATGTCTTAATTTTATCTTGAATTTTCTTTTAACAAACAAAGAAGGAATAATGGGGTTTGTTACGGCTACCTGGCGACAAATTAGACGAGCAATTTCTGCACGTTCTCAAATACGAGCAGATAGCCAGATAGTTCCACAGCATGTCTCCACGGTTAATATTTTAGAAAAGCAAACAGTATGAAAATCATTATACCAGTAATTATGACGAGGAGAATAAAAGTTACGGTCAAACACACAACGTTGTTTCACTTTCCCGAGAGGTCCAACAAATGTCACCGGAATTTTCTACCAACAACCTTTTGGGTGATGCATTGATGATATAGGTCCAACAAATGTCTCCGGAATTTTCTACCAACAACCTTTTTGGTGATGCATTGATGATATAGGTCCACCAAATGTCTCCGGAATTTTCTACCAACAACCTTTTTGGGTGATGCTTTGATGATATAGTACATACATGGTTACCCCGACAAAGGCTGCGCGAAAGCGAAGTCAGCTGTCGGTGACAGTGGCTGTACTAAAATTCGAGTCTGCTGAGGGCCCAATTTTAATATCCGTAATTAATATTTGCGTGGGAGAGCCATGCTTTAACACAAATGTGACACACAGACAACCAGTGTGAAACTATTCTCTCGTTGGTTTTCAAAGAGTGAATGAAGTCACAGGGACCCAAACTCGCCCTCATTGTGCCTCCTCACTATGGTTTCATAGTTTTTTAAGTTATAGGAGAGCAAACGAGCAATCCGATCACATGATAGTATGTGACTACCGCGGTTCAGGGATACCGAGTCACAAGTGCGTTGCAGGGGTTTCAGTGTCCCCCTTTTTTTTCTATGCGGAAATCCCCTCGGATACTACCCACCGGTGGGGTGGTTATGTGAGACCCGAACTGACCAAAAACCACACTTGAACCAGGTGTGCCCTGAAAAGCAAATCCTTGGTGATTTCAGTGTCACCTAGAAATAAGATGGATTCATACTCTTTACATAATATATTATACAACATTACTACTGGATACTGTATACATGTAATTGAAATAAAATATTGAACAATGTGTATTTAGTTTATTTCTAAGTTGATCCACATAAAGTATACTGAAGATGTTCATTTGATGTACAGATTTGAAGATGGCTTGACGACACCTGTGACAAAATATTATTGGTTAAATATGTATTTCTGGCCTTGTCCGTGTAGTGACGGATTAAGAATACGGAATGTCACTACCCCAATTCATCCCGTGGGCGTCGTAAGAGCCAACTAAGGGCGCAAAACAACGCAGGACACCAGCACTGCAAAAAGAAGGAAAACTTGACACAAACCCTATACCAACTCGTCTGGCCAGCGTGATATAGTAGGCCAAAACCTCCTTCCTAAGGAGAGGCCTATGTCCAGCAGTGGACTAGTAAAGGCTGTTGATGATGATGATGATGCAGCATAAAATGAGAAAGCTTGGTTATATCAAAGAAATTGAAAAGTACGTGAGCATCCACCACCTCAATCTGCTAAGAACTGACTTATGTCAAACAAATGGGAGAAAAGAGCCGAATAAGAATTAGTACTCTTCAGTTCTTTTGTCTTGACCGTCGAAGCTTGAAAATATATGCCCGTTATAGATATATTTCTTTGCTGCTACAGACATTCTGTGGAGGGATTCCTCTCTTTTCTGTCTTTTTATCTCTTTATCTCGTTTGTACACTTTGGAATTTTACGATAGGCCTATTAGTCCAGTGATTAGCGATCTTGACTGCTATGTCAGAAGGCGTGGATTCGATTTCCACCCAGGACAAATATTTTACGAGAGGCACGATCATTTTTTCTGTGTCTGGGTGTAATTTATCTATAATATGGATGTATTTGGAAGCATATAAGTATTAGGTCCTTACATATGAAATTGGTGGTGGTGGTGACGGATTAAGAATACAGAATGTCACCACCCCTATTCATCCCGTGGGTGTCGTAAGAGTCAACTAAGGGGAAAAAACTACGCAGAACAACAACACTGCAGAGAGAAGGAAAACTTGGCACAAACCCTATACCAATCCGTCTGGCCAGCGTGGTATAGTAGGCTAAAACCTCCTTTCTAAGGAGAGGCTTATGTCCAGCAGTGGACTATTAAAGGCTGTTGATGTGTGATGTGTTGTTCATTTCAAATAAGTGGGAATAAAATTTTAATTGTCAAAATACGGGCGTTTTGTACTCATAAGTTTACCCCTATGGGGATGAAGATGTGTGTTGTGTGAAATGTTATTATTATAAAGAAAATATAAGCAAATTTCACCTTTTCTGGTTGAATGTATTCCAGGTATGTTATCTCCCAAGTGATGGGTCCAAAACGACGTCGCTGTCTGAAGATCTCTTGTTGAACATATATGTTTTTGTACCTGTACAAATTAATTAATATAAACGTAGTCTGTAATATACATTTCGACAACATCGACGGGCCTGTTGGTCTAGTAGTTAGTGACCTTGACTGCTAAGCCGGAGGTCGTGGGTTCGATTCCAACTACGGACAAATATTTGTGTGATGAGCACGATCGTTTGTTCTGTGTCTGGGTGTAATTTATCTATAATATGTATGTATTTAGAAATTATAAGTATGTTTATCAGCAGTCTAGTTACCATAGTACAGGCTCTGCCTAGTTTGGGATCAGACAGCCGTGTGTGAGATGTATGAGGTTAAAGTTTAAAGTTAAAGTTAACATATATCTAGCTTTAGCCCGTGAAGAAGTGATTTTTTCATCTCTCGGGACCATGGGAATTATTACGGCTGTTAAATTCTCCAAATCTAAAAGAGTTTTGATCCTGTTGAGTTTAGTTGCTAAGATATAAGACTGATAAAAAAACGTTGCAGAATTACACAATTTACATGGCTGAATATAATTTCTGTAGTTATGTCCAAGCGCACTGTTATAAGTTACTAGCTGACCCGGCAAACGTTGTATTGCAAAACAAAAAAAAATTAGGGATGGGTCACGCTTACCATTTAGGGGTATGAAAAATAGATGTTGGCCAATTCTCAGACCTACCCGATGTGCACACAAAATTTTATGAGAATCGGTCAAGCCGTTTCGGAGGAGTACGGGAACGAACATTGTGACACGAGAATTTTATATATAAGATATTCCAAACAACGCTAAATTAAAATAGGTTCATCCGTTAGGTTCTATAATTGAACTTATAACAACCCAATATCATTTTTGTGTCTCGGATTAATAAAGAAAAAACACTCTACGGCAAACTCCATCTTATCTTGAAGTTCTTGATCACTTATCCCAAATTGCCATCCCTCCCCGCATCTCGTCTGAGCTTTCGATGTAATCTTCGCTTCTGGATGAACGTCTACCACCGTGTACTGTGTCCGTGGACTTTCGCCTTCTTCCTTTACCATACCAAAGTTTGTGTGGTTCACGAAATCGTCCTGGGCAATAAAGTATTTTAATGCAGTATCGTTTTTTTATGGTATAGGAGGGCAAACGAGTACACGGGTAACTGATAGTATGTAACTACCACCACCCATGGGCACCTGCAACTCAAGAGCCACTCAGGTGCGACCTTTGAGCTAGCCCTCCCCCCCCCCATCTTCCCGTTTTTGTAGTGTAGAACGCCTACAGGCTAGGTGGAGTGACGACTTGCGCAAGATGGCTGTCAGGAGCTGGATGCGAGAAGCCCAAAATCAATCTAAGTGGCGTGCAATGAGAGAGACCTATGTCCAGCAGTGGTCTGCGATAGGCTGATGATGATGATGATGAACCAGTTTGGATTACAAGTATACTACCCTGACCTATTGGAGTATGGCTTACATTCCCCGACCCATTCATATCAGCATTATCCCTTTCATACCATTACCTTCCCTTTTGACTTAACCATAATGTACCATATGGGATTGTACGTGTAAAAAGGCTATGATGAGAGGGGTAAGAGCTTAGAGGACCGTCACTGCCTACCTTTCTTTTTTCCTACTAGAGACCTATATCTCCTAGCTGATGTCCTCACAGTTCGCCACCTATATGTCCTAAGTGATACCCTCAAACAGCATTCATCACTGACATACGAGCCTTCGCGTACCAATAAAACACAATATTTGTCAAAATACCAACGTCCAGTGGTCCACTGTCTTTTTCAGGCAGTTCAATGGTTTTCTGTGTGGATATTTGTAAAAGAACTTAAATGAAAATATTCATTTACCAACATACCCGATACAAGTAGAAAAAAGCATACACTTCGTGGCTAAAGTCTTTCAATTATGAGGAAACCGAAAATGTATATCGATATCTCTATAATCGTATAATATCATATTCGTGCTTGAATCATACAATGAAAAAAAATAACATAAAAGTATTCAGTAAATTGAGGACACATATATACGTACAATCACACACACACACACACACACACACACACACGCACACACTAAACTCTCAACCATTAATTATGCAGACACTTAATCTTTATCTACTGCGACTATACTTTCAGCTGTCTAGAGTTTGACGAGGCTGGTAACCTGTAATACAGATCTCCTATTGCATATTCAAGTCTCTCACACAGAATATTCATTAATGTCTCACATACACTGTACTAATTTATTATTAATTATGATTTTTAACTGTGTAAGGGAAAACAATAAAGTTATTTGAATTTGTAACTTGAATATACTCTCAATTTTTTGACAGCAATAGGCTTGTATGTAAGTGGTACTAATATTACAGTCTGCAAGATGTAGGCGGTAATAAGGCCTCTGCCTACCCTCCAGGGTTTTAAACGAAAGTGTATGTATGATAAACATAAACCTATAGCTTTTTACTGACAAGTGTTTTGGTTAAACGCCCTAATCTTTGGAAATACCAGTTTGATTCACGCATTTAATGGCCCGATTCTTGAGAAAGACAGTAGGCTAATTAACGGACCATAAGGCGGGAGAAACTGCTGGAAACGAATAGAATTGAAACAAATTCCTGTATATTTATAATGTCACCTTATAACCTACAAAATAGAAGATATTTGATTCAGAGACCAATAACCAGTTACTATTGATCTATCCGTGTGATGACGGATTAAAAATACGGACTCTCGCTACCAGCCGACAAAGGGAGTAAACTACGCAGGACAACAGCACTGCAAAGAGAAAGAAAACTTGAAACAAACCCTATACCAACCCGTCTGAGTAGCGTGAGGCCTATGTTCATCACTGGACCATTAAAGACTGTTAATGATGACGATAAACGATCGAGAGATCAAAATAAACTGTACCTTAAATCTTTGAACAGAAAACTGGCTTTCGTTTGATGATCGGTTGGATAATAACATCATATTCATGCACTGACAGCATACCATGGATAGTATGCAAGTGAGCACTTCGGAGACGACCTGAGTGTATCTCCAGATCCTCACAAATTGCAACACGAGCGGGTGGAACGCGTAACAGCTCACCGTAAACATTTTGGCGGCATTTGTGCTATGAATTTTAGATATACTGACATATTTATTCAGAAAAGCCAGTTGTAATTTAAATATACGCGCTTTAAACAGTTTTAATTACATGTTTAAAGTTTAGTCAGTCGTTACTTTAAATTATTTTTATTTACATGTGTAAATAAAAATTGTAGTGACGGCCACGGAACTACAAGAAATATAGATAAAAAATTCAACGTTTAATTAAAGAGGTTTGTAGTTATTTTATGAATTACCTATATACTGAAACTCTTTTCTTTCTTGATTGCCATCCATAGTATATAATAGACTTGTGACAAAAAAGTATGGCCATATTAAAGAATTATTGTAATAATAATAATAACCTCACACACGGCCATCTGACCCCAAACTAGGTAGAGCTTGTACTATGTATCCACACTGCTGAAAAACATACTTGTATATTTCTAAATACATTCATATTAGAGATAAAATTCATACAGACAAAGAACAAATGATCGTGCTTTTCACAAAAATATTTATCTTGGGTGGGAAACGAACCCACGACCTCTGGCTTAGCAGTTAGGCTTACTAACTACTACATCAACTCGGACACAAACTCTCTTTATTTCATAAAAAAGGAAATTGATTGAAATCGTTTTTTACGTATGCTCTTAAGTCATAGATCAACACACACAATAGCAACAATTTCAGTTTTGTCAAATAGTTAGCAAAATCAATTTAATAAAAAATAATCTTATACAAAATCTATGATATGCCTGTGCCGATCTACAACCGTCCGTTTCCAAGGGGTTGAGCCTTATGAGAAGAAAGAGCAAACAAACTTATGACCACTCTTTTGCAATTTACAGAAGATACAATGGCACTATTAAATATACCACAACATTGTTTTGATGTGTGCCAGTATGTCCGTTATTAAGAACTAAAAGGTAAAAAGTCAATGAAGAGAAAACAAGATTAAGCAAAAAAAAACGAATAAAAGAGAAAATGAAGTGAAACAAAAAAATTGGAAAAAACACACTAGACTACACCACAAGCATTTTTGTCTTCTATGTAATCCACAATTGAATAGGCTTTCTGACATAATTTACGTTTTATTGCGGATTTAGATTTGTTAATACTTAAGTCTTGAATATTATTTGGAATTTTATTATAAAATCGGACACATTGACCTCGAAAAGACTTGTCTATCTTTTGGAGCCTAGAGGCGGGTACTACAAGTTTATTTCTATTTCTAGTATTTATAGAATGTACATCACTTCTTTTCAAAAAACTATCTTTGTTTTTATGAACATATACGAGTAAAACATTTTCATAAATAATAATAATAATAATATAATAATATTCTATCACATACACACAACGCCATCTAGTCCCAAACTAAGCAGAGCTTGTACTATGGGTACTAGACAACTGATATAAATACATATATACTTTTTTTTGTAAATACATACATATTATACATAGAAACACCCAGACCAAATCAAACATCAAATGTTCATGCACACAAATGTTTGACTTACCACCAACCACTTACCACACTTACCAAACCACTACGCCATCCGGTCGTCAATAATATATATTGACTTGCCACTGTCATTATGTTTATTTCTTTTAATTTCTGCCTTGATGAACAACGATTGCCAGAATTATAAATCGCTCGGATCGCAAGTCGTGCTGTATCAACATCAGTCAACTCTTGAATTTTTCTTACTGCGTTATCAAAATAAGGGCCCCAGTGTAGCTTAGAATCTAGTGTTATACCTAAAAATGTCGTAGTGTCGACAAGGTCTAACCCGACATCCTTAATCATCGCAATAATGCTGGGGGGGGCCCCAGCATTATTGCTTATTCTTATTATTATTCTTATACCTTTCTTTAAAGCGTCCATGTGCGCCAATAGTCTCTTACCATCAGATGATCCGGCTATTCGATTGACCAAAAAGGAGTGAGCCTTACAGTAGTTCTACATGATGTGTAGCATCTCATATTATTCATTCATTCATTGCAGCCGAAAGACGTCCTGGACTGAGCTGGACCTGGGCCCCAAAGCCCCACATCTAACATGCAAAATCCATACTTTTAAAGCAGCTGCTCAATTTCACGAGGTGTAAAAAAACAACTTTGTATTTTCAGAAACCACATCTGTTAATGTGAAAGGTATAACATGTAAAGGTATAAAAACAAATATAAAATAAAGCTTTAATATCTTCACTACTCCTAGTTGCGGCTTCAAAGTTCCTTACACATTTCTGTAAATTAAAACAGCCTATTTCATGGACTCTGAAGTATTTTTTTGTATCTTTTGCGTGATATACCTTAAGCGATCGCGTTAATTATATATCTTAATATAAAATGAACTGTTCTACTCCTTGTCGTACATGATACGCATTATCTGGTGGTCAGTCTTCACTCGTGCATCAAACTCGCGCATGTCGGAGCGTCGTCGCGCTTTCCGCTCAGCGTCGTGGAGCAGGTAATCGCGAATGCCGCATGGACAGCATGCACCGCACTCACAAAAAGCACAGCTAGCCTTTACTGCCCCCCAAGCACCTGGAACCAGTTACACGACCATACATCTCTTAAATTCGTTGCAAGTATTTTTCAAAATATGATTGAGCGTTAACTAAGGTTTCACTCTCGCAAACGTTGCACCGTTTAGAAATAATACACAGTCTGGTGTCCATCCGTGTGGTGACGGATTAGGAATACGGCATGTCACTACCCCTATTCATCCTGTTAATGTCATAATAGCCGACTAAGGGAATACACTACTCAGAACAACAGCACTGCAAGGGGCAGGAACACTTGACACAATTCCTATACCAACCCGTCTGGCGAGCGGTGTAACTATACACTGCGGCGGAGGTTTTGGCCTTGGTAGCCCAGAACCTTCTTTCAAAGGCGAGACCCATGTTCATATAATATTTTTGAAGTGATAGCTTCGTTACGTAACGCGTTACGACGCCAGTCTGTCTCGCCTATCTCACTCTAATCCACAACGCTAGCCGTATTTCGGACAGACGCTTTACTTCAAATTTAAGAAATAACCTAAGCTTTTCTCAATTTAAACAAATTCAATAGTAAATAGTTCAACTTAAATTAGTTTGTTTTTTTTCTCAAATCTCTTTGACCGTAAATTCTACTTACCCAATGCCCTTGCCAACTCTGCGCATCTTAAGTAAGGTGTGTCAGCTGTGTCATCTACAGGAGCCTGACATATCCTTACCACATGGGGCTTATGGGGAGCATTCCGTTCCTGTATGGTGACGCCTTTGGTACGACCAAATAATGGACACGGACTATTGGGATACACTTTCTGTAATTAAATAGTCACAAATGGATTTCACGACGATACCTCAATCATAAGCAAATCTGTGTATGGAGCTATGGACGTACATGCTTCTACCTGATGTGGTCTGCGTTTAATAGATAGTTCAATACAGTAATTACTCAAACAGACAGACAGTTAGGTACATAATTACCTATTCCCAAATTTGATTAGGGTCAACGCAATGAGTTTTCTTTTTCCATTCTCTATCACTCGTCAGTTCACCTCTCTTACTAGCCAAATTCTCTTTCATGCAGTCCATCCATCTTTTCTTTGGTAGTCCTCTAATCTTTTATCCGTCAACTTCCATACATAAAACTATCTTCAATACATTTTGTTCATCTTTACACAATTACATACTTTTTTTATTATTTTAAATTATATTTATTGGTCCTTAAGGTCGACTAACTGATGGAATATACATTTATAAACTGTCTTATGGATTTTTACATCCTCGTAGCCATGTACTGAATGCCCTTCCCCCACTGACCATACTCATTGTATCATTCATATACATATATTGTAAACGGGAGTCAAGGGTTTAAGCTGAAAACCAGCGCTTGGTAATCCATGTGAAGTCCAAGCATAACCTGACGCTTAGACCTTTTAATATATAATATAATATTAATATAATTTATTTTCCTACATTCACACAACCCCATCTAGTCCCAAACTAAGCAGAGCTTGTACTATGGGTACTAGACAACTGATATAAATACATATATACTTTTTTTTGTAAATATATACATATTATACATAGAAACACCCAGACCAAATGACACATTAAATGTTCATGCACACAAATGTTTTGACTTGAGCGGGAATCGAACCGACCTTTGGAAGCAGTCCGTTACACAAACCACTACGCCATGCGGTAGTTACTTTAGTTTGCTACAGTTATTGGAATAGTAAGGTTAGGATTAGGGAGTACATTTATTACTTTATTGTCTACCCCTTTAAGTATATGGGCATGACTGTATGTATGTACTCTTAATCTAATCTGCACGGTTGGTGTAATTGTTTAAGCGGACACCTCCCCGCTTCCTACAGCGCTGATTGTTGTTGGGTGTGATCTACACACTGCTGTTCTGAGTCTGGGCGTTCTTTGTGTCCGTTTGTAAAGTCTTCCGTGATACAGGATATATTCCTAATACGGAAGCTGTCTTTAAAAAAAAAATCTCGACTTGTAACTTGTTAGGAATAAATTATTACCGTTGGCCATCTTCTGTAGCACAGGTATGGAGGTTTTCTTTCAAGAAGGAGTTCTTCTGATGGTTTTTGGAGCGCGCCCTTCCATATTCGCCTGCGACTCTTACACACTGGCCGACATCTATCAAGGAAAATTAAAAAGTGTCATCTTGTTCGCTTTTATTATCAGTAAGGTGGTTTAATACCAACCCGTCTGGCCAGCGTGGTATAGTAGGCCAAAACCTCCTTTCTAAGGAGAGGCCTATGTCCAGCAGTGGACTGTTAAAGGCTGTTGATGATGATGATGATGATGATGTTCGCTTTTAACGCCGAAATACTAAATTTATTGGCAACTGAGCTGACGGGTCTTTTGAGGGCCAAGTGCGAGTTCATTTTACTTTTACTCGATCGTCATGGTAATTGCGTTCGGCGCTACGATTGGCCCGTACTGAAATCTCCACCAATCGCAACGCTAAATGCGCTCGACGTCGAGAGCGTATCGATGTTTAATAAACTTGCACTAGGTCCTCTGATAGTAAGTGACTACCGTCGTCCATAGACCCCTGTAACTCAGGAGTCCGAAGTGAGGTGCCGTTCTTTGAGTCCCTTCACCCTCCAGACTCAGGAGGGGTTCCGGTGTTCTCACTCACTCGTTGAAAAGAAACGAAAGAATTGCTTAACGCTAGTCTTCCGTGAGGCCGTGAAAATTAAATATCAGTATATTTTCAATGATGCGCAAATCAAATTAAATACTGCTAATATAATTAATACAACTAATTAGTTCATTAGTTAGTTAACTAATGAATTAGTTAGTTAATCAAACTGTTCGATATTTTTCACACTTGTTTACTAGCTATAACGCCAAACTAGAATGTGTTGACCGGATCACGGCACTAAGTATATGAAGGCTGCGCTAATCTTTTCGAAAGTTACATAATACCCGTCTGACGATCGTGGTATAGTAGGCCAAAACCTCCTTTTCAAATAGAGGCATATGTAAAGCAGTGGACTGTTAAAGGCTGTTGATGACGATGATGACATAACATCTTGTCATAACCAAGTGGCTGACCAACCAATCTGTGGAATAAATTATCGATACGACCTTCAAACCTTCAAGAAAAGAGCATACTCCTTCCTCAAAGGCCGGCAATTTGTGACTCCTGAGTTGCAGGCGTTCATGGCCAGCGGTAGTCACTTTCCATCAGGTGACCCGACTGCTCGTTTGCCCCCTTTTCTATTAAAAAAAAAAATATAGGAATATTTGAACTTTTCCTGATACGTTGATTAATTCAACATGTCTCAACTTGGGACGACTGTAATACTATTAATAATAGAAATAGCCTGGTGGACGAATTTGGATCGTAATCCATAAAAAGGAGGCCTTCTTCAAAGTACTAAATAGCTTAACATCTCTATGGATAGATGTAGAAAGAGAACCGCTTTTCTAACAAACCTCATTTAAGAAAGCTTAGGTGTTTATAGTCTGTTTGTACGACGTAATTATCAACAGTATCAAAAACAAGTTAAAAAATAAAATAATATACTTGCACAAATCTTCAGTTTCTTTGGGATCTCGTTTGCTTTTCGGCAATTCAATCATTTTCTGTTTGTTTTTTCATAAATCCAGTGTATATGAAATTAAAATTTTAATGAAAAATTGAAGAACATTGACATCGGTGGTGTTTTTTTTTTGTGATTGATGTAGAGAGGTGTCTGTCTTTGGCAATAGACAAGGAATGAAAAAAGAGGTCAACTGTTTTGATCCTTCATATTTATTGTTTTTTATGGCATTGGCAGTATATTTATATCTAATATGCAAATTAATATCATGTATGCATAACATTATCGACCCAAGCCTTACACGTTAAAACGCGTTGCAATATTTTAGTAATTACGTAATTTATTAGTCAATATTACAGCTTATTGTAGACTATAGTAAATGAAATTCCAGAATATTTGTTACCATTTAATTCTAATCAATCATAAACTTTTAAGATTTCTTTTAATTTAATTCGATTTCATTGTCAATGGTACTTAAAAGTTGTTCAGTAACTTTTAAGAAGTAACGTAACTCAGAAATTTCTTTTACATTCTATTAATAAAATGAAAATAATATTTTTTCATCGTCATGAAAGCAACAAAACACTTACAATGAAAAGTTTTATTTTTTTATCGTTTCGAGCAATCATTGCTACAGATAATTATATGTCGAAGTTTGTATTCTATTTAATGAGTAATTTATACAATAAACATTGAGTTTTTTATGAAAGCTATTCTTTACTGGAAATAAATGCCAATCCTCCGGTTACTTTTTAATTTATTTCCGGAATTCTAATTAATGTTTTTTTCTTTTTTTTCTTTTAAAAAGACAACTCCCGCATTAGGAATATATCCTGTGTCGCGGGGGACTTTACAAACATACATGAAACGTACACAAATAACACCCAGACTCAGAACAACAATTTGTGGATCACACAAAGTGTCGTCCCATGTGGGGTTTGAACCCACAACACACGGCGTAGTAGTAAGCGGCGTGGTGCGGCTTAAACCACTACGCCATCCGTGCAGTCGCTGTGATTTTTTTTAAGGCAAAGTCCAGAAGAGTACCTATCTGTTTTACCTCATTCGAACAATTTACCAATCTGGTCGAATAAAGGAATATGTTTTTTTATTAAAAAGGAATCAAATTGAACCTAGCGATGATCGGTACTACTTATTTTTTTGGCCCTTTTCCACTGAAAATATTGCCTTCTTCTAAATGCTTCTTTTTCAATATACCATACATTTTTCCTTCTTCAATTCACAGAGGGTTGACGGCAATAGACTTGCCCCCTACGTGACAGTAGTATAGTCCTTATAGTCGGCAAAATAATTCTATCCCTTTGCCAATTCCTTTTGCCATATTGCCTGGAAACTTGTTATATTGACCTGACAAGTCGAATCACCTTATTGGAAAGTAGATCTTTGAATTAGAAGCGAGTTAGGATTTTTTTAAATACGCGTATACTGAGTAAAATTGTATGTAATTATTAAAATTAACGGATAAGTTTTCAATTTATTAAACGGAAATGCTTCTTTGCAACATAATTCAAGAAGCAAGGTTGAAAGCTCCTTTCTCTATTTATACGTTATTACGTTCTTATAAACTCTCGTGTTAATAAAGTTTAAATATAGGTAATTGAATGCGGTGCTAAGACGCGGTATACGCTGCCTCCAATACCAATTTTCTCTAATTATCGGTTGGGTGCGCGGGAAAATCAAGTTTGCGGGTGACTCCGCTGGCGCCACTGTCGGGGCAATCTTATTTACGCGAGAGATATTGAACCGTACGAACGTGCTGTTTTAAATTACGTGGGAGGTTAGTTTTATTTAGTTCAATTTAGATCGTTAACCAACACTACTGGTGTAATATTCTAGTTCTGCTTATAAATACGGTGTAATAGTGTAAATGCACATTACCAAATAATGATTTCATTTATTTACTAGCTGAGACCCGCGGTGTTACCCGCGTTTGTTGTTATAACCGCGGGCAACGCTGCGGGGCGAAGCTAGTCTAAAAAAAGTAGCCTAAGTTAAAAAAACGATGGTCACATCTGCAACCAGTTTTAGTCAATCAGTCATCCCCACTGCTCCTTCACGACAACGCGCGACCCCATACTGCGCAACAGACAGTCTCCAAGCTGCAAGAGCTGGGGTTGGAAGCTCTCCCTCATCCACCATACTCACCAGACCTTGCACCTACCGACTATTACTTTTTCCAAAATTTAGACAACTTTTTAGTGGGTGAAAAATTCAATTCCCGAGAGGCAGTACAAAATGCCTTTGAAGAGGTTGTTGCCTCCCCTCCAGCTGATTTTTACAACAAGGGCATCAGTAAACTGCCAATGCGTTGGCAAAGATGCGTCGATTGCATGGATGATTACTTCGAATAACAGAAATAAAAAAGTTTGAAAAAATAAGTATTTTCTTTCACTTATTGCATACAAAACGGCAATTTCATAGGTAAAGACCTTTTTCCATCTAATATCATTATTTCTAGCGGGAGCTTATTAAATACTCTTATTACTGTAATGTATGTGCTTTTGTAGTATATCATATTAGTAATATTATTAGCGAAACCTTTACTACAAATAATGCTGCTAAGTTTTATTAGATCAATTTAAGCAAAAGGATCGTTTGTATCATAGAATGGTGTTTTTAGTTTCGTGTTTGTGTAAGAATTATATTTAATTTTAATTTCATTATAATATCAACCGTATATAAACCATATGACTGGTTAAGAACTGGTTGGTCTAGTGGTTAGTGACCCGGACTGCAACACCAGAGGTCGTAAGTTCGATTCCCACCCAGGACAAATAATTGTGTGATGAGCACGGTCATTTGTTCTGCGTCTGGGTGTACTTTATCTATAATATGTATGTATTTAGAAATATATAAGTATGTTTATTAGCAGTCTGGTTACCATAGTGCAGGCTCTGCCTAGTTTAGGATCAGACGGCCGTGTGTAAATTTTGTGAAAATATTATATTATACAATAGTAGTAATCATTGTCTCCATACTTCCTCGACGTAAAGTGTATCGTGGTCCAAATAATAATAATCACCTAAACATACAATATATTAGGTCATTACCTATGAAATTGCCGTTTTGTATGCAATAAGTGAAACTACTTATTTTTTCAAACTTTTTTATTTCTGTTACTCGAAGTAATCACCCATGCAATCAAACCATGTCTGTTGCGCAGTACGGGGTCGCGCGTTGTCGTGAAGGAGCAGTGGGGATGACCGATTGATCAAAAGCTGGTTGCAGATGTGACCACCAGACCTTGCACCTACCGACTATTACTTTTTCCAAAATTTAGACAACTTTTTAGTGTAAAGTTAGTACAAAAGGCCTTTGAAGAGTTTGTTGCCTCCCGTCCAGCTGATTTTTACAAGAAGGGCATTAATAAACTGCCAATGCGTTGGCAAAGATGCGTCGATTGCATGGGTGATTACTTCGAATAACAGAAATAAAAAAGTTTGAAAAAACAGTACTTTCACTTATTGCATACAAAACGGCAACATATAATGCTACCTCTTGATTAAACCTCTTACAAAGACCTGCAAAAAAAAGAATCTGCCAGATCTTGTCAAAATGAAATGTCCGACGAGAAATGTTTATTTATTTAATGGTTTCCATATATTTAGTGTTATCAAAGACAACAATACACGAAGCTCTGTCAGCAGTCACAGTTGTAGATAAAGGCGTGATGAGTTTAGAGCAAGGATCCATAGGACTTCAATTTTTTGTAGATGTTGAGAGTGACCATCACTCGGGTACTTGCAGAATACATTCTTGGCCTAAAATGTGCTGTATTGAAAACATTCCATATAAAGATTGCTGCACGGATACTATTTATGGTGATAACACAGAATTACTTATGCCTAAACGAAGAGAAACACTAGTTTATATCTACCCAACCTTGTACCCCCATGATCAAATTGGTAACTGTAATTTTATTGTAGAATACAAGTGCAAAAGACAAAAACGTACAACGCGTTTCGATGTCAGCATACCTTTTAATACAGATATGAAAATGAACGCAAAAACGGAATATTTAAAAAAATATTATCACGAAAAACCAAGCAGCTGTAATTCTTTAGATGAAGATGCCTTGCACGATTGCATACCAGTTAACTGCGATCTAAAATATTCTGGCAGGAGACCTTTTTTTGACCCGATTCGTAGAAAATGTGCTAGCGCGCCAAATTGCGAAACTAATTTTAAAAGGAGTCTTCCCGACGTGGCGTATGTACCTAAAAGCAACATTTGCAGGGATCTCGATCAATATATAACTGTCGGTGATATATACGGTATTAGTACAGGTTTAGGCGTTGTGTCTGAACCAACTAAAACCACGATAAACCAAATGACCGTTCGGGTGAAATCAAATTGCTCAACTATATCTGAAAATTTGGCACTACTAAGAGATTTGATGACTGGTAAACTCTGCCCTTTATATACCGGTGATACTTCAGAATATAACAAGTGTTGTTTAAGAGCCTTATTTTCCATTTGCGTGTGTGTCATGGCCATGAGTGCGTTGTTGCTATCGATAGTGTGCTGCATCCATACCATGTTTTTCTGTTACAAAAAATGGACGACAGGAGAAATAACATTTGCCTTCCACAATATGATGAGTAAAATGAGAAGAAATAAAAAGAATGTACACAGAAAGCCTTCAATGTTGAGTAGGGATCTCACAAACAATTTGTTGAAGGAAGTTTTGACTAGAGAATTGCCATTAGAACTAAGAGACAGTATAGTTGAAATATGCGAGAGGATTGGCAGAGAAGTTAAACGGAAGAAGAGATACAGGATGGTGGACCTCGGCAGTCAGATAAATCTTTTAGAAGACGAAAGTCGTGCTTCTACTACTAGCTCATCAATGCATGGTGACGAAGAGTAAAAATTTTGTTCTTAAAAACACTTTTCATTTTGTAAATATTTAAATAAAAGACCATTTTAATTTTCAACTCTTTCATATATATTATGAGAAAGTAATTTTTGCAATTAGTGGCAATATTACTTACAGCTATTGTACAATATTTTAAATTCGAACATCATTTTGCAAACTATTAATATTTAGTTTTATGTTACATGAATACACCTATTTGATTTAACCTTTTTTTGATATCAAATTTGGTAAATGAAACACGATATATTCACTGGTTATTCACTTATTGTAATGACTTTTTGTTATATTTGATATCCCTAGATAGATCTCGTAAAATTTAAAAAATAGAAACCGTCCCAGTGTTGGCTACATAGCTCTTGAAAATAAATACATAATTGAGAATTTTTAAAGATAATTACTATCGAAATGATTAAAATTATCGAAGTCTAACCTTGTATCTGTGATATGTATGTCAATTTTTACTAAGTAAACTAAGAAAATATGTAATTAAATATGTACAATACGAAACAATGGGGTGGTGAAAAATCTTAATCGAAATCTATTTGTAATTAATTAATTTTAATTATTTTTGATGTGAGACAAAAGTTGTATTGTTGCCCTATAGGACGCAAGAATTAGATATCAAACACAAACTGCGTGAAAAAGGTTTCACAAAGAAGGGAAGGATTTAGTTGATTAGTCTGCACACCAATAAGTTTACTTAAAATCAAAATTACAATTCATCTTTCGTCACAGTTTCGTTTTGTGATTTCAGATGATCTTCTTTAATAAAATCAGCAGCTCTTTCTGCAATCATCATCACGGCTGCTTGAATATTAACACTGGGTATAGTGGGCATCACACTGGCATCCACCACTCTCAAGCCTTTTACTCCATATACTCGTAGTCTGCTATCAACAACCGCCTCAGGATCGTCTGGTTTTCCCATTTTCGCGGTCCCTACTGGATGGAAAACGTGGTACGTGACAGTTCGAGCCATACATTCCCAATATTCATCACTCTCAAATTCTAAATCATCACAACCTTCAAATTGAATTCTCTTAAGCTCCGCTTTCATGTCTTTAAACGTTGGAGTCTTAACAATTTCCGATACTCTCTTTAAAGCTTTAACAAACGTTTCCATATCTCTCTTGTCACTGAAATATCTTGGGTGTATAATGGGATGTTCTATAGTATTCTCAAAACGTATATTTATTTCACCTCTAGAATGAGGACGACACAAAGAGACCAGCACAAATAACAATTCTTTGTCAGAATTCCAATCAACGAACTGTTTGCAGATACTTTCGTTGTAAAACATAACCTTTTCGCACATGGTAGCTACGTGAGATGTATTAGGTACGAAGTAATTATGATCTATTTGCACATCGGGAAGAGTTTTACCATCTGGCACAGACAAAAATGCATTTATGTTAGGCTGATCATAGTTCGTGGCATGAGGCCCTGTCTGGTCTATCAAATACTGAGCGGCAGCTTTTTGCCAGAATTCTTCACCTCGTCTTTCAGCCCCTGTATCCAATGTTATTGGTATTGGAATACGAACATGATCTTGTAGATTTTTACCTACGGGTAGATCACTTAACACTTTAATTTTTAAATCTCTTAGTCGTTTTTTAGGCCCAATACCTGAGTACATGAGAATTTTGGGTGTATTTACTGTACCACCGCTTATAATAATTTCCTTACGTGCAAAGAAGAACTGTGACTCTCCATAGATAAGCGTTACTTTAACTCCTGTCGCCTTCTTTTCTTTATCAAATTCTATTTGATGCACAAATGTGTGTTTAATTACGTATAAGTTTTTTCGTTTACTTATAGGGTTCAAGAAAGCAGTAGCGGTACTGACTCGTCGTCCTTTATGAATACCACCTCTAAGCTTGCCCACACCTAATTGAGAAGGCCCGTTCAAGTCATCTAAATACTTCAAGCCCATCTCTTTGTAAGCGTTAGTAAGTCTATCAGCAATGTCTCCATGTGTGAAGTTTAATTGGTCTACAATAAACTCTCCGTCTGTGCCGTGTTCTTTTCTTAATTCTGGATTATTCAGAATAAAGGGATCTACCATTTTTTCACTCTTCTTGAAATACTCCTTCAGCGTTGGCCAATCCCAACCGTCACCTTCTTCTAGATGCCACTTTTCGTAGTCTCCAGGGCTGCCTCTCATATAAAGCATTCCGTTTATACTAGACGTGCCTCCAAGAGCTTTTCCTCTAGGCCAAAATGTAATCTGATCGATACAACCCCGACAAAAGTTTTCACCAGGTTCTGTGTAATAGGGATAGGAATTTCGGCTCTGAAATGTTGCTGAAGCATAGTTTGGAACCTGACGACAAGGCAATAGTGTTAATAACTTACACACAAAAATTTCACAAACATATCAAGTTTCTTTATAGCTAGGTGGTATTTGTTATTTAAAAGAATACCTGATAAGTGCTAGTCGTTACCGCCCACCGAGGGTTCCGTACAATTTTCTAGGTACAATTATAAATAGTTCACGAATCGAGTCTCGTAGTTTTTTCCGAGCTTAAAGCAAAACCTAAAATTACTTCTATTGTTGTGTTCTATAAGTTGTACCTTGATGATAAATACGTACTTTAAATAGTCAATAGTTTTTATTTAATTACAAATGTATAGTTTTTAGATTTTTCCCTGTACTGCCAAATTTCATAGTTCTAGATCAATGGGAAGTTTAAGAGTGTCGAAATATGTGTTTTTGCGACATAAACTGAAGTATCTTTTTTTACGTTGACTTAGAAGTTTCACTTTTCGACAACTTCAAGGGACTATAGACTTGAGTATATATTTTTAATTTCAACTCGACACATTCACGCGTTTCGGAGATAAAGAGTCTTGACACAGGGACGGACAACAAAATGTTTCTAGGTTCCGTTTTTTTCCTTTTGAGGTAAAAAATATAAAATCTCACTAAAACAGTCGCATTGCAATTGATTACGTCATTAACCGAATAGTGGAATAACTAAAACTAAACTAGATGGACTGGATCTAATTTACAATCTACTTTTACAATCAGTTTCAGTTTATTTTAAAATCTTGATCTTAACATTTTAAATATGTGGTATAGTATATTCAATATCATTATCAAATATTTTGTTACATCCCATTAATATTGCCAAAAGGTTTTTTTAGGATGAACGCATGATGCTTGTTACTCAATCACGCCACAGGGACTAGACGAGCGACTGGATAAACTTTGGCACAGAGATAGGTTATAGTCGAGAATAACATATTGGAGCTACTTTTTATCTACGAAGCCATGGGTAAAAACTAACTGTAATATAAATTTGTGATTAGTGTCAGAAATACTTACAATACTTTCCATTGGAGGGTCACTGCCTGCTTCTATAAGGAGAACTTTCCAACCTTCGACCTCTGATAGCCTGTTGGCCAGAACAGATCCAGCACCTGAGCCTATGATGATGAAGTCGAAATGTTGTCCATCTATCGAAATCAAAAAGATATTAGATTATTATAATTTATTTATCCTGTTGGTCTAGTAGTAGTCCCAGCTTCCGAGCGACGTGGTTCTGATTCCCACCCAGGATATATTATTGTGTAACGAGTACAATCACTATTTTGATCTATATATGGGTGTATACCAACCCGTCTGGCCAGCGTGGTATAGTAGGCCAAAACCTCCTTTCTAAGGAGAGGCCTTTGTCCAGCAGTGGACTGTTAAAGGCTGTTGATGATGATGATGATGATATGGGTGTTATTTATAATATGTAAATATTAAGAAGTGTAAGTAAGGTCAGCACCAGTTGGGTTACCACAGTTCAGCCTCTGCTACGCCAAGCTATTACGAGTATTATGACATGAGTTAAACCAATAGGGTTGTTATTATGGCCTAACTAAAAACCAACTATTGACGGTAAATCATGAGCCAAAATTCGCTATACAATCATCATCATCAACAGCCTTTAGTAGTCCACTATTGGGCATAGGCTTCTCTTTAGAAAGGAGGTTTTGGTCTACTATACCACGCTGGCCAGATGTGTTGGTATAGGGTTTGTTTCAATTTTCTTTCTCTTTGCTGTACTGTTAATGTCCTGCGTAATTTGCTCCCTTAGTCGGATCTTACGACACCCATGGGATGAATAGGGGTGGTGATACTCTGTATTCTTAATTCGTCACCACACTGGCATTGCCGGAATATTAATTTGCAATTAAAACTACCCAACATAAATAAAAAAGACAATGGAATTTAAAAGAATGGAATTAAAATATTGATAGTATATGTACGTATTTATATACTTTTATACAGTATTTATGTAGTATAAGGTATATATGTATAGGTACAGTATGTGACAGATTTGTATATGTGTATATATTATAAGATTTTGTACAAAGTATATATACAAAATTAAATGTCTATATTAACTGCAACTAAAATGCACCTACTTCCTGTTTTCTCTGTATCACCCAATGGTTGACTGGTAGAGAATGCCTTAGGCATTAAGTCCGCCAATGCACTAAATGTGCATGATGTGTAAATAAATAAAATAAATAAATAAATTGATACGATCCACAAACCTGACAGTCCATAGGAGTGATCCTGGGGCCATGGTTCGGTGATGAGACACTGCGCAGCCAGGAGATGAGTGATCAGATTCGTAAAGGCAGTGCCAGCAGAACCACTGGCGTAGGCCTTACACGCGTGCGGTAGACACTTCATACTGAAACAAATGTTGGGTGTTCTATTAATAAAACTGTGCCAGTCCTATACACAATAATATGATTAAAATTTATTTCTTGACCCAAAGAAAGCATTTGTACTTAGGGCTCTAAAACATGGCTATAACGACAACGCAGATAACTCACATGAATGTATACAGAGAGTTTCATTTCCTATCCCAAATACTTAAGCCACATATTCTGCCCTTAATTTCTAGGCGATTTGCAAAATATGAACAAAATATATCCAGTAGTTTAGCCACAGGACTCATTTTTGTGTTTCGTAAATTGCAACATCATGTGTACATGCATTCATAATACATTGACCTCAGGCGGCGATCAGCTGTAGGTATACGCGGTAATCACACGTTGCCGCTTTTACTACACCCGAATCGAACGAAATATGTTGATTATTACGTCATCACGATGCAACACGCGTTTTTAATTAGTTCATCCAGTAAGGACAGTCAGTCGGCCCTTGGCCACCGGCGAGCTTATGCTATTCCGTATCCTTGTAGATGCGCTCACGACAAATAACCGTAATAATAATATTGTTGTTGTTTATGAGATACATATTTGTTTAGAGAAGTTTTCTTGTGGTCATAATTGTTTAGTCTTATTGCTTTCGTCATAATACACGGCAATGGTGTGAACAATTAATGTTATCGTGTGCGCAAGACTTCGTAATGTAAGGAGTCCTGCTAATTTTATTTTGAAAAGTCACTATTAGGTTCTGTGTGTAGTGTAGTGTGAAACTGAGTGCATTATCAGTCTTTTAATTTTATTGGGTTATCGATATCAACATCCATAATGCCGTGAGTGACCTTCACAGCCGCGGAATATGCCTGCCTGCTATGATGTTAATTTATGGAAAACTCTATCAAAACGCATCTTTTGCTTTACGGACACGTATGGAGTCAATCGTGTATGTCCTACAGACTGCCGAATTTTTGTAAGGGCGGTACAAAGATTACGAGACAACCAAGGTAACTACTTTTTCAAGGAGTGACGCGTACTGCTGGGTCGGAAGCTAGTCGAGCATTCACGAAATAAACACGTGAATAAAATCGCATTCTTTATAAATAGATTTTTAAAAGCAAGTGAAGTGATTGGTAGGTAGGTAATAGGAATGTAAAGTTCGCCGGCTCGCGGCGGCGGCGGCGTCGTTTTGATGTCGCCGACATTGCGACGCTGCCGTGTAGGTACAGTTCACCGACTCATGTTATCAATGGTGTTCTAATTCGGAAATTATTTTATTGTATTTAGTTTGTTCTAAATTTGCATTTCTGTATTTTCGTACTAATTTTTTATTTTTTTATTTTAACCGACGTATATTGAACCGTGTTATCTGTTATTTCATTTTTTGTGATATCTATACCGCCACAGTGTATACTTAGCTGACTATGTCAGAAAGAGCGTGACTCTTGCATTGCAGGCGTTCATGGGCGGCGATAGTCACTTTCCATCAGGTGACCCGTCTGCCCGTCTTCCATAAAAAAAATGATTTTCAAGTGTGTATATCTAAAGTATTACTAACACTAGCAGAATACCGATTCAGCTTTCGGTCACAAAACGATATAATCACACTACAATCAACGTTTACCGTGGGAGAGCCATGCTTGGGCACGAATGAACCGGCTCGACTGGCGTGATACCACGGCCTCACAGAATACCGGTGTTGTGAGGTGAGTGAGGTTACCGGAGCCCAAATCCCCCCTCCCGCTGACTCGAGCGGGAGGGACTCCAAGGGCAGCAACGCACTTGTGACTTTTGAGTTGCAGGTGTCCATAATTGCTTCCCATCAGGTGACCCGTCTGCTCGTTTGCCCCTTTATACCATAAAAAATAATTGATACTTTCATCATCATCAACAGCCTTTAATAGTCCACTGCTGGACATAGGAGGCATGTCCTTGGAAAGGAGGTTTTAATACTTTACTAGTACTTAATACTTTAATACATTTGTGAGATCGAGAGTAGATTGGAACTTCATTTGAACTGAATTTTGTACCAAGTTTATTACGAGAATTAATTTAGGATATAACCGGAGAGTCATCATCATCATCATCAGCAGCCTTTACTAGTCCACTGCTGGACATGGGCCTCTCCTTAGGAAGGAGGTTTTGGCCTACTATACCACGCTGGCCAGACGGGTTGGTATAGGGTTTGTTTCAAGTTTTCCTTCTCTCTGCAGTGCTGTTCTCTCTGCTCTGTAGTTTGCTCTACTTAGTCGGCTCTTACGACACCCACGGGATGAATAGGGGTGGTGACACTCGCACTGGAGAGTTCGAGTTTATAATTATTTATTTACACATTTTTATTTAAACACTAGCTGACCCTGCAAACGTTGTTTTGCCATTAACAGTGTTTCAAAAAATTTTGTAAAAAAAAAATTTAAAAAAATTAGGGGTATGAAAAATAGATGTTAGCCGATTCTCAGACCTACCCGATATGCACACAAAATTTCACGAAAATCGGTCGAGCCGTTTCGGAGGAGTTCAACTTCTAACACCGTGACACGAGAATTTAATTTAATTATATGTTAGATTCTTCACAGCCATATTTTTCGTTTAATAATCCTATTTTAAGCTATACAAATAAATGAAATTGAAGTGTCTGTGTGTAATGTAAAAATAATAGGTTTATTTCATGCTCACACGGTTACCTGCACAATACCTATGCCTAAAATCTTTTTGACCGTCTCTCTATCTGTTTGTTCCGGGTAATCTTCTAAAAGGCTGGACCGATTTTACCAGGTAACTGTTAAATAAAACCCTTTAAAATTTTGCCCGGTCCGGGAATCGAACCTCCTATGCGCTGCTTTCCAAATTACACCCGAACGAAGTCGCGGGTACCAGCTATTATGATAAATATATTTAAGCTTCAGTGTAGGCCTTTAAGATTAACATGTGTTAAATGATTAATTAATCATGATTTGAACACTGTATTTATCAAGATAAAGATCTTACTGTTAAACTAAATATTTACAATTATAATTTTATAAATTATTTATAAAGTATTTTTTGTCCGTGTAGTGACGGATTAAGAATACGGAATGTCACTACCCCAATTCATATCCGTGGGTGTCGTAAGGGCCGACTAAGGGCGCAAAACAACGCAGGACACCAGCACTGCAAAAAGAAGGAAAACTTGACACAAAACCTATACCAACCCGTCTGGCCAGCGTGGTACAGCAGGCCAAAACCTCCTTTCTAAGAAGAGGCTTATGTCCAGGAGTGGACTATTAAAGGCTGTTGATGATGATGATGTGATGTGAAATTATTTTTATTATGACGGAGGAACCTAAGAACAAAAACCTTCGAGAACTATTGCAGACTCTGACAGTCTGATCAGCACCGTTCACCATGTAGGGCCTTCACCTTTTCTAGATTCTCTGATCTAGGGGGGGGTAAAGCTCTCGAAACACTTTTATTTATGTTAATTTTCAATATGTGTGTATGTCACTGAACTCCATCTCTAAAACAATAGACCGATGTTTAATTTTTTATGTGTTTGAGTGTTTTAAATTTACAATTTGAGCAAATTTACAATGATTGTTTAACCGACCCTTGACGACCTGATGGCGTAGTGGTTTGTGTAACGGACTGCTATTTCAAAGGTCGCGGGTTCTATTCCCGCTAAAGCAAACATTTGTGTGCATGAACATTTAATGTTTGATTTGGTCTGGGTGTTTCTATGTATAATATGTATGTATTTACGAAAAAAAAATATATATGTATTTATATCAGTTGTCTAGTACCCATAGTACAAGCTCTGCTTAGTTTGGGACTAGATGGCGTTGTGTGAATGTGGTGGGAAAAAAAATCTAGTAATAAAAATTAATTTATGTGCTTTTAAAGGACCGTAGGAGGTTTACATATATATACAATTCGATCTGAATTATTGTGCTTTTTTAATTTATTTAATTGTTAAATAACGGACTCAAAAAGAAAAACCTACATTTTGGCCGAACAACGTTTGTCGGAGACAATAAAAAGTCGTATAGTTATGTACTATTCGCAACTCTGTGACAAATAGCATGCAGATTTATCAGCTATTCTGGCGTGATTGTTAAACAAACCTCCATACATGCAACTTGGCAAACTTTCACGTTGATAATATTAATGAAATGTTATTTTCAGCATTTATATTAAATCAGGCGTGGATAGTAACTCAGTAGGTATTAAATTAATTGTATTTTAAATTTAAAGTCAATAGAACAACTAAAGATGGAGTATATTAAAAAAAAAATAGTTTTATAAAACTAAAAAACACGTTTTCTATAGAAAACCAAACTAAAAAATAGAAAATAAATTTGAAAAAAAGCGTTGGTTGCCTGTTGTCAATAGTAAAAAGCACCCAGTAGTAGAAAGCGTGTTTTTTAGTTTTTTTAAACTATTTTTTTTTATATATTTTTTAATTAGTGTATTTTTTTATTTTATTTTATTTTATTTTATTTTATTTTATTGAATCTCCAACAAGAAATACACCTTACATGCTAGTTATAAAGCCAATAAAATTTTAAGTCTTGTGCTTCCTCAATTATAGGAGACCACAACATGGACATTACAAAAAAAGATTAAAGACAGTGGCCACAAATGGCCTTTGTAAATAAGAAAAAAAAAACAATCAAAGAATTATAACAATCAATTGTAAATTATAAATAAAAATGTAGATTATAAATTGCAAATTAGCAGCAGTCAAAATTCAAAATTTAAATGGTAAGGAGGTACGTCAACAATCACACAGTGTTCAATATATGAGTGCGAACATTTTTTTTAAATTTACCCAGACTATTAGAAAAAATGTCTATGTCCTCCGAAGCAACTGAAATGGTGTCATATTCGCGAGTCATCCTAGCAATTGGTGCTTGCTTCCCTAAATTCGTCCGGGCTCGTGGGACCTTGAATAGCGGGCGAGGGTAGCGTGGGATTCTAGTTGGAACACCTTTACCGATCTTACTGAGGAGGTCTGGACAGTCAATGTAGTTATGGAACAGTTTGTATAAGAATACTAGATCAAAGATAGTACGACGGTCCCTAAGAGATATAAGGTTGAAGTGCGTTAGTTTATCCTCATAAGTCCTTAAGTTCCTAACCCCAAAACGGTAAGCTAGATGTCGGACTAGTCTCTTTTGGATTTGTTCTATTTTATTTATGTGAACTTGGTACATTGGGTTCCATACCGTGCTGCAATATTCCAAATGACTTCGTACATAGCTATTGTATAAAATGATCATGGTAGATGGCTTTTTAAATTCTTTCGAAGAACGTAGTACAAAACCCAAGGCTCGATATGCTGAGTTAGTTATCGTATCATAATGATGTATAAAGTTAAGTTGACTGTCCAAATGTATTCCTAAGTCTCTGATAGTGGTTACTTCTTTTAATTTGTCTCCTCGAATGTTGTACTCAGAAGGGATTTTGTTGCGTTTTCTGGTGAATTTAATGTGGTAACATTTGGCACAGTTTAAATTCATTTTGTTACTGAGACACCATTGATTTAAATTATCAAGGTCAGCCTGAAGTAAACTTACATCTGATTCTTTCAAAATTATACGGGTCAATTTTAAGTCATCTGCGAAAAGATACGGTGTTGAATGTATGAACACTTGCGATATATCATTGATGAATATATTAAAAAATAGGGGTCCCAAATTGGAACCCTGTGGTATACCGGATGTAGCAAAATATGGCTCAGACTGGCTGCCATCAACGGCAACTGAGGATGGCCTGTTGTTGAGATAGGAACTACACCAGCGTAGAGTTGATTTAGTAACACCGAGAGCACGAAGTTTGAATAATAAAATTTTATGATTAACCCTATCAAAGGCCCTCGAAAAGTCGGCATATATTGTGTCAACCTGAAAACCTTGATCAACTGCAGACGCCAATTCTGTAATGTAAGTAACTAGGTTGGTGTTTGTAGACTTATTTACCATGAAACCGTGCTGATTATGGGATAGATATTTCTTCACGTGATCATACAATACAGGATATATAAAACATTCGAAAGCCTTGGACAGGGTACATAGAATGGAGATAGGCCGATAATTAGACACCATATCCCGTTTACCATTTTTGTGAACGGGTACTATTCTAGCCTGTTTCCAAACGTCAGGAAAAACGCCTGTTTTGAGGGAAGTGTTAAAAATTATTGCTATGGGACAAGATATCGGACGGGCGCACCGTGACCAAAATGTAGGAGGTATGTCGTCGGGCCCTGCGCCCTTAGAGAGGTCCAGTCCAGAGAGTTTCTTATACACTGCATCTGGAGTAATAGAAATATCGTTGATGTCTGTTACCGAAGCCGAGCAGGTATAATGATTACTAAAATCGTGATCAGAACTGGCAGGATCAAAGACCGAAGAGAATTGTTTAGCGAATAAATTTGAAATAGAGGTACTGTCACATGCAGTTGAGTTGCCCAACACCATTTTAGAGGGGTAGGAATTATTGCTCTTCCGGAGATTTTTTATATGTGTCCAGAAAAACTTCGGATGTTCTTTTATTTTAATTTCTATTCTTTCTATATAATCATTGTAACATTGTTGGGTATGGGTATGACATTCTTTTCTTATGTAATTAAATTCCAAAATATCTAATGGATTTTTATATTTCCTTATTCTCTTACGTAATTTTAATTTCTGGTTGAGCATTTTTTTAAGTTGATTAGAATATTGTCATCGGTCCTCGATATATCTACAATGTTTAAACGAATTCTGACCGTTTAAAGTCAGTCAAAATCACGCCCAAAAGAGTCGGTTACAAACATACAAGTGAAGCTAATATAAAGCGTGTAAAGATACGGCACCAATTGTTAAATAGATAGCCAATTACAGTCTAATAAAAACATCAATCTTGTATCCGAGTAAAACTATCCGAGTAAATTTATTTATCGCCTGATACCCTAATCCGATTAAGTCAAATATAAAAAAAAAATGTATTCGTAAATTAAAATAAAAACTAAAATAAAGCATAAGTAAGTACATTACGTAAGTGGAATATGACTCATTAATAGCAGCCCCCTGCAACAGGATAATAAAACACCATATCTTCATAAAGAGATACCACATTCAGACACAGGCAAATTACCGAGATCAATCTGACATAAACTAAGTCCGAGTTTACACGGACGGCTCCAAGACGGAGTCAGGAACTGGAGCTGGAGTTTTCTCACAAGACCTAAACATGAACATGTCACTAGCGTTAGGCCAACACAGTTCCATATTCCAATGCGAATGTGTGGCAATAACTTACGCCGCCACAATGGCCATGTCAAAGGGTATTGAGGACTATAACATCCGAATACTACAGACAGCCTGACTGCCCAAAGGTACTGAAGGGCAACACAATGACCTCTGGTATTGTCTTCGAATGCCATAAAGCATTGAAGTAGCTTGACACAACAAATGGGATACTCCTTCAATGGATTAAAGGGTACAGTAATTCACACGGGAATGATTTGGCATGGAGGAGCTCGGTAACTCCGGCCACTGGCCTAACCATACTCCTGCCACTACCTTTCAACCAAATTCAATTCTGAGCTAGACAACGTACTCGTGAAGCGCACAACCGGAGGTGGAAAAACTCACCCGGCTGCAGTCAGTCCAAACTGGTGCTGACTGAAGTCTCACCACGACTTACTTACACACTGGTCAGTCTTAGTTGTAGGAACTTTAATAGGACACCTAGCCTTGAACCGACAACTGTTCACCATTACAGACAGCCCTCTTTGCAGAGGATGCTTGCTTAATCCTGGAATGCGATGGAGCGGCCACACAACGGGCAAGTATCATACCTGGTACAAAACCGCTCCTAGAAGCCTGTGAACATGCCAGGAGGCTACTGCGCTTCTGGAAGGAGCTTTGTTGGCTCTCCTAGCCAACCTTTCCTCTACGTATAAAGGACCAATGCGGAAATCGGAGCCCACAACAATACCAATACATCCTTACGTAACAAAAAAGCGTACCTAGGTCCTAATTAAAACATTAAAAACTTGAATAGGTACTTACATTTTGGTTTATAAAACACAAAATAATATTGAATGCAGCACGAAAGACGCGTCCATAACCACTAAACCGATTAATCTTACTAATTAACTTGAAATGATAATTATACGTACTCTGATAATCTGAACTCTGAAATGATAATAAAAATGTTTTTATACTGCTTTATGTCTGGTTCATTGAATGTAGTCATGCTAATGGACACTCGAATGTTAATGTGTTTGTTTTGGAACTATCTAAATAATATTTACTTAAAGTCCACAAATTACAGTGCTTTTTATTTAAGGGATGTAATATTCATATAGGCCAATTCTTTTAATATATTATTACAGAACTATTATTAAATTAAAAGACGTTTCCTTCCATTTCTAGAACTTACCCGATCGAAATTAAGTCAGAAATTAATTTAATAAAAACATATGTACATATTTCATCAACATCAACAGCCTTTACTAGTCCACTGCTGAACATAGGCCTCTCCTTAGATAAGAGGTTTATATGTATTTAATTACACCCTATTTTCACACCCTACTAAATGAATTCAGACGTGAATTATTTAGACGTATACTGACCGAACAATATCTATTTATGAATGGCTTATAATTAAAACACTTCTTTACTTTGTACTGGAAATAAATGTCGTCAGTTTACGTATTAAATTATAGTTTTAAGAAACTTTCTGATAATAATATTTAAATATAGACATTTTTATATCAGTAGTAAATTTATCGTAGCAGCTTACCCGATAGCATTCCTTTTTATCGAAGGTGAGACGTAATGATTGACTACTTAGTGCATTTACCAAATGATAAATCAAATCTCTTTTTGTACAAATTATTTTATGTAATTTGCTGATATCTACAAAATAACTGTGTTTATCTGTTTATCAAAGAGACACGTCAACGGTCAATATAATAATATTATATAAAGGATATTTTTAATAAATACGGTAGATTTAGGTAAATATAAATGATTGAAGACTTACATAAACACATAACATATAAAATGTCTATCGCACATATCATGGAGAGTGCTCCGAGGAATTGTACGGACTAACCACACGGCAAAATTGTTATCCACATCAGCTGGATAGTTGGCGCTCCACTGCTGTGCGCTTTTCGAGACACTTTTTGCCCCGCACAACCAATCTGTGGAACGGGTTATCGTCTACGATATTTCCGGACCGACCTTCAAACCTTCAAGAAAAGAGCGTACTCCTTCCTAAAACGGCAACGCGTTTGTGACTCCTGAGTTAAAGACGTTCATGGGCGGCGATGGTCACTTTTTATCAGGTGACACGTCTGCTCGTCTGCCCCCTCTAACATAATTTTTTTTTAGTAAAAACACATCATCATCACCAACAGCCTTTAACAGTCCACTGCTGGACATAGGCCTCTCCTTAGAAAAGAGGTTTTGGCCTATTATACCACGCGTAGTTTGCTTCCTTAGTCGGCTCTTACGACACCCACAGGATGAATGGTGAGAATCCGTCACCACACGTAAAAACACATAACATATAAAAACCCAAATATCGCTAGTCGTATCCAATGATACTGTATACAAACAAAAGGCATGCAGTATGAAAGCAATATAATATTCCTTAAATACCATTGGTCGCATCAAAGTTACAATAACAGTTATGCAAACCAATTAGTTAAACTATGTTTTCATGGAGGTGTTTGTATGTTTATCATTATCATTGTGTACTTTTTATGAATTTAATCTCATATTTAACTAGTAAAATGATAAATATAAATTAGCCTTTTTTAATGTCTCATTTTCATGCAGTTTTACAATATTTCTTCACTAGTGAATAAGGAAGAAAATTTACTGTTATTGCATGTAAATATATAAATATTGTAAAATATTATTCAGTGAGGTTTTAATTACATCTTAAGACTTCCAAAAAATGAGAAAATTCTTTCGGCTAATCTTGTATCCGTCCAGTCCGTGTGGTAACGGATTAAGAATACAGAGTGTCGCCACCCCTATTCATGCCTTGGGTATCGTAAGAGCCGACTAAGGGAGAAAACTACGCAGAACAACAGCACTGCAGAAAGAAGGAAAACTTGACACAAACCCTCTACCAACCAGTCTGGCCAGCGTGGTGTAGAAGGCCATAACCTCCTTTCTAAGCCGAGGCTTATGTCCAGCTATGGACTGTTAAAGGCTGTTGATGTGATGATGATGTGATGAATCTTGTATGTTGTGTACCTACTAGATTTAAACTTGAATCTAATCTTATCTTTACTGTTTTTATTTTTATACATATAAATATATATTAATCAACTTTAATGAAACTATACACATTTAGTGGTTGTTTCTACCAAAATAAATGAGCACAAGGCATATGTTTGTATTATCTTTTAACGAATATAAGTGTACTATTAGAAACTACTAAGTGTTGTCGGTGTGGAGTAATTGATTTATACTATTATTATGATAAAAGTATACTACAGGACATCCTAACATGTAATATTTATAGTCCCGCTCTGCTTCTGTCGGCCGCTGCTCGTACCACCTGGGACGGACGTACGGCCCGACGCGGCGACGTCCGATTTGCCCCCGAATTTTAAATCTCTAATATCTATTAAGATATTCACTTTAATGATATGCCGTGAACGGCAATTTTGATTTGAACTACATTAAATGCATAACGTATCTAACGTACTTATTTGGATAAGGAACAATACCGTATTGTTCGAAACAGCGTTGTAAATTACCCATTATTTTTTATAATATGTAAAAGAAAAAAATGGTTACTGTGGATTATCCTTAGGAGATAGACATAATTATACCATTGCGGACTTTTTAGATCTTATTAAGATATGCAATTCCGTGGCTTATTTTGATCTACCTCGTAAGGTTTAGTCAACGTTTGCAATGTAAGGGTACAAATATGTTGTTTACGACTTCACATTACAAAATTTTGAAATTCTCGATTTTCCTCGTGTGCGTTACCCCAGCAAAATAATGTCGAAAATGGTCATTTAAACGTTATAGATAATTAGTTGCTCCCCTTCTGTACTTGTTAGGCACATTTTTAAATTTGTTTCACTTAAACTTTTTAGTTATTTCAAAAAAACATTTCCTGCTGGGGTAACGTTTGAAACGTTACCGCAGCCAGACATTTTCTTTTTTAATTGTAATATTAAAATAAATTTTAGCTAAATAATTAGTTATCCGGACTAGGTAAATGTTACAACTTATTTGGTATTTGTATTTTCTTCGGCTGCGAAGTTATTCGAGATCCTGCTGGAGTAACGTTTGTGGGTTTGTAGGATCTCTGAAACGGGTAAGCGGATTGTAACCATCTTTTGTACATAACTTCCTAAGGATTAGTTTTAATTTGTTCGACAACAAAATAACAAAAATAATGGACCATTTAAAAATTATTTAGGTAAGTATGAAAACACTTCAATACGTCCTAACACTTTAAATAAGACCTCTAAAGACTTACTTCAAACGTTATTCTATTGCTTGTAACTACCTTCAAATGTATACGAATTTTCGTAAGAATACTGTAAGTGACTAAAAAGTTATGATGAAATGTAGCTCTCCACGTTCACGATCACAATGTGTGCGGCCTTTTTTGGCCACCGATAAACCTGTGTGTGGATATATAAACTGAATGTTATGCCAATAATTAGTTGTTTAGTTCAGTTGTCTACCTGTAGAATTTCAGCGTCGTACCTATAATAATTTACGAGATAGTTAAATAAAAGTCATTAGAAGGTGCAAGACCGTTTTAACCCAACCATGTTTAGGTGGTTACAAAAAAGCGATCACCCAGTACATTGTGCTGGCTTTTAAAATATGTAGGATATTATTTGCAAGTTTACTACGGATATGTACATAAGTGTTACAAAAAACTACATGTTTTTAAATAATTTTTATTTAGGATTGTTTATTGCATAATTAGTAATCAGCCGGGAGATTAGGTATTGTTTTGAATGCTTTTGTTTTCTCGTAATTTTAAGGTGAATTGTTTATAGTTGTTCATAGAATTGGTACCTGTGTAGTATTTGTTAATTGAAGTTTAATTTTAGGGTAGGTATAGGTAATTTAAGTTTTGAAGAGTGTAACGTATGCGTTGTAAATAGGTATTTTGTGAATAGATGGGGATTTTTTTAAGTGATGAATCGACTTAGGCTAGCATATCGCGAACAAACTCTGTATTGCATTATTTCTGTAATAATGTTGGAGAAAATAAAATATTTGATCACAAAATCGCGGTGAGTTAAATTATAATAAAATAAATTATTTATGTAAAATTAGTAATAAGTGATATACCTACCTACAAGTTACGATCGTTTTTAATTTGTTCACCCTGAACGTAATTTCAATATAAGCATTAGTAATTAATATCCTAAGACAAGAATTGACAATTACTTAAATTGAATCGAATTAACATTAATGCCCATTATTAGTAATTAGGTACACACATATTGAAGAACTCTCAAGAATACGATAAATATTTGCAAAAATAGAAAGCGGAAGCGCACACGCACTTTACAAGACGTATATTATCTGCCTAAGGGTAAAGTTTAGTGCACTAGATGCAAATTGCAAACAATGAAGTATCCCTTCGCCCCTCCCCTCCCGCGTTCTAGCGAAGGATGTATTATCGGCGATTCTTGATTGACAAATATTATCTGACCAATAATTTTATCTATAAAAATGTATCACTTTCACTCGATAAATTAAATTACCGTTATTATATCAAAATATCATTCAACAACTGTTCGTTTTTAAAAGAAATCAACAGTCACGAGCTCAACGCTTAGCGGTAGGTACATAGGTATAGATAATTCTCGGTTCTCGGTATAGACCACAGAACAATATTACCTACTCTTACGAGGTTAACGACTGTTGGGCGATGCAATGTTGATGCATTCTAATTTACAACTGTATTTTTCTAATATTCGGTCTATTTTAACTTATTGTAGATGACTTGTTGCTTTAAATATTTTGATGCATTCAAGTCTAAGCTCTATACACCTCAAAATAAAATACAATTACTTTAGTGTTATTTCTTTACAAAAAAATCAAAGAAATGAAACGATTTCTTATTGGTTTAAATTTTCGATTTATTGCAGTCAGGTGAATCGTTCATACATGTACTTACATATTTATAATTTTAGCGGACCAGTGCAGATTTTCTGTTGATTGTAGCTCCGGTAGTTAAAAAGATTAAAGAAATTTTAAGTAAAGAAACTAGTGCTTAAGATCAATTAGGAAAAAAAAACAAAATAAATAATAGGTAATAATAATGAATAAATATTGAATGTATTTAACACTGCACGCAACTGTACCGAAATCGTAAGTTGTATTACACTAAACATTTTAAAAGACAGCGCAATGTACTGGGTGATCGCTTTTTTGTAACCACCTAAACATGGTCGGATTACCACGGACTTGCACCTTCTAATGACTTTTATTTAATTATCTCGTAAATTGTTATATGTACGACGCTGAAATTCTACAGGTAGACAACTGAACTAAACAACTAATTATTGGCATACCATTCAGTTTATATATCCACACACAGGTTTATCGGTGGCCAAAAAAGGCCGCACACATTGTGATCGTGAACGTGGAGAGCTACATTTCATCATAACTTTTTAGTCACTTACAGTATTCTTACGAAAATTCGTATACATTTGAAGATAGTTACAAGCAATAGAATAACGTTTGAAGTAAGTCTTTAGAGGTCTTATTTAAAGTGTTAAGACGTATTAAAGCGTTTTCATACTTACCTAAATATTTTTTAAACGGTCCATTATTTTTGTTATTTTATTGTCGAACAAATTAAAACTAATCCTTAAGAAGTTATGTACAAAAGATGGTTACAATCCGCTTACCCGTTTCAGAGATCCAGCAAACCCACAAACGTTACTCCAGCAGGATCTCGAATAACTTCACAGCCGAAGAAAATACAAATACCAAATAAGTTGTAACATCTACCTAGTCCAGATAACTAATTACTTAGCTAAAATTTATTTCAATATTATAATTTAAAAAAGAAAATGTCTGGCTGCGGTAACGTTTCAAACGTTACCCCAGCAGGAAATGTTTTTTTGAAATAACTTAAAAAGTTTAAGTGAAACAAATTTAAAAATGTGCCTAACAATTACAGAATAATTACAGAAATGACAATTTTCGACATTATTTTGCTGGGGTAACGCTCACATTTTCCTCTACCATAATATGCATGTATAAGACATATAAACCCGCCTCTCTCTCTCTCTCTCTCTCTCTCTCTCTCTCTAATAGTAAAAGCCACATTCAAATCCATTTAAAAGATCTGAGAGCGTACTAAAACAAGAAGTAACTTCATTTCATACTATGTAAAGATAATTTGTTATTTTTAACAATTACATTTTTTTTTAATTACAGCGCCATCTATGAAATATGAATAGAACTACTTAGAAACTTAGCTGACACTAAAAGTTCTTAGCAATCAGCGATAGGCATGGGACATAATCACAGTGAACTGTGAAAGACCGGTGATTTAGCATTAGATTTTTACGGACGTAGGTTAGGATTACTACCTACTCACTCGTTGTTGCCAATAAGCTGCTTTCAGACAATGCATCAAGACCCTATTTCGCCTATTTAACAGTAAATTTAGTAAATATTCTATTATATAAACTTACCATTCCTTACATAATAATAATAAAAAAACATTTAAAATACCTAAAAAACCTCTATTCCACAGAGCCGAACTCAATGGACATGCATGATAGTTTTACAACCAAAATAACAAACAATTAAATTATTTAGCTGATTTAATCATGTAATAGGTGGGTACCGATATTTATTTATTTATTTATTTATTTATTTAATTCACCAACAGTTATATACAATAATTCATTACAGGGGATACAAAATTATTCGCTTAAAACTAATTGCATAACTAATAACAGATGAATACAACATGCACAATAATATTATCTCTAAAATTACATAATATTAAGCAATTATATAGTTCAGTTACAATGATACTTGTTATTATATTCACAATTATGTTGATTATTTACAAATTCAATCAAAATTCCAAAGTATCAACATATTACAATACATCAAATCGAGTTATAATAATAAAATTAAAAACAATAAAAATAATAATTAATTAGAGCATTAGGAGGCATTAATTAGGTTGGTGGCTAATTGGGTAAGTTTTCACACAATACTCTGCGATATTTATGATATTTGATCTCAAAAACGTCAATTGAGTCCGTGCAATATTCATTTAGAGCTCTGCACATTCTGGGAACTGGTGAATTATATCCCAAAACTGTGCTTCTAAATGGCTGTGCCATTATGGCCATTGGTTTACGCGGAAGACGCCTGGGAGCGTTAAACTTCAACCTTTCGAGCAGCACTGAGCAATCCAGATGGTTGTGCAACAACTTGTAAAAGAAATTCAGATCCAAAAGTGTTCTTCTCTTTTCAAGCGACGGTACCTTGAAGAATGACAGTCTCTCTTCATACCTCTTACTAGTTTTGGCGATTCCGACGGTGAATGCCAAATGCCACATGAAACGCTTCTGAATTCTTTCTAACCTCAAAATATGAGTGGAATAATGGGGTCTCCAAACGGTAGGGCAGTATTCGAGTATACTACGAACCAAAGTGTTGAATAAGAGTATCTTAGTTTGAGGCCTTCGGAACACCCTAGCATTTCTTATGACAAACCCCAGCATTTTGGATGCTTTCATAATGATATGGTCCAAATGAGGTTGAAAAGTGAGCTTTCTATCAAAAAATATTCCCAAGTCCTTTATTGTATCAACTTCTTGTATTGGTATACCTTCTATAAAATACTCAGATTCAACAAGCTTCAGCTTGCGGCTGAACTTAATGTGGTAACATTTGCCAGTATTGAGGTGCATCTGGTTGTTGCTACACCACTGGCTTATGTGTTCTACGTCCTGTTGTAAAAGAGCTACGTCGTGAATACTATTTATAGTTCGTGAGATTTTTAGGTCATCAGCGTACATGTATGGTTCAGAGTGCAAGAGGCAGCCGGGTAGGTCATTGATAAAAATGTTAAAAAGGATGGGTCCAAGATGCGATCCCTGTGGTACACCAGAAAAGGTGGGAAAAGATTTTGACCTAAAGCCATTCACCACTACATAGGAAAAACGATTAATGAGATAAGAATGAATCCATTCACAAAGATTGCCAGTAAATCCATACACAGATAGCTTCCTCATTAGTATAGTGTGAGGTACTTTATCGAACGCCCTGCTGAAGTCTGTATAAATAACATCTACCTGCTGGTGATGGTCAATTGCCTCAGCTAGGCGTTCAACAAACGTAACCAAGTTCGTCGAAGTAGATCTTGCCTTGACAAATCCGTGTTGATGTTTGGATAGGTATGGACTAAAATAGTTTTGAATGCAAGGACAAACAATAGATTCAAACACCTTTGCCATCGTGGAAATGATCGAAATTGGTCGATAGTTATTCACGTTGTCCTTGCAACCCGATTTATGAAGGGGTACGATTTTAGCAAATTTCCACTCATCTGGAAATATTCCAGAAGAAATCGATGTGGTAAAAATGATGTGCAATGGCGTTGTTAATTGAGATGCACAATTTCTTACGAAAATTGGCGGGATGCCATCTGGCCCTGCACCTTTAGCTGTATCCAGATACTTCAACTTTCTTAATATCGTTATCCGGTCTATAACCAGGGAGCTAAAACTTGAGCTAAATTTGTCTGTGTACCTTAGACCACTGGACATCGTGAATTTATCATCTGAAGTCGCACTATCGTAGGCCTGCGAGAACATTGAAGCAAATAGATTACATATCCCATCGCCATCTGAACTGACCGAGATTCCATCAGTCATTAAGCCAGGATAAAAACTTTTTTCGTCTCTTTTAGCCTTCACGAAAGACCAGAAGTTTTTAGCATTTTTGGATATTTTGCTTTCTATATCGGTAATGTATTGGTTGTAGCACACTTTAGCAAACTTAGAACATCTTTTGCTTAATAATTTAAATTCTAATTTGTCCATCGGATTCCCGTACTTCTTAAATCGAGAATGTATGTTGTTCTTTTCTTTTAACATGCGAGTGAGGGATTTGTTAAACCATGGTGGATAATGTCGCTCGCCAGATTTTTTATGAGGTACATATTTGTTGATTATTTCATTGAGTTTAGCGTAAAATATGCTCACCATTGAATTGACATTTGTGCATTCCGCCAGCTCTGAATTCCAGTCAATCCCTGACAGAGCCCCCCGAATGGCCTCATAATCGGCCTTATAATAGTTTAATTTTCTATTGTTTGAATTTATATTAAGATCCTTACTGTCCACGATCGATATATTAGCCTCAAGGGGTGGATGTAAGGGATCAATCTTAGTAAGCGAGTCCTGAGCTGCTGACACTGTACAATATGGTAGATCTGAAAGAACCAGATCAAGAATTTTTTGCCTAATATTTGTCACATGATTGAGTTGGTTAAAATTGGCTACATGTAAAAAATCACACAAAAGCTGACCCAAGCCCCGACACTGGTTTCCTGAAGCCATACCCCAATTAACATTATTAAGGTTGAAATCACCAAGTATACAAGTGTGGCCGTTATAATTATCGAGTATAGAATTACAGCTTTGAATGTATTGTTTTAACATTACGGTATGTACTGGAGGAGGCAGGTAGACAGCGCAAATTGCCACCTGTTTGATTAATTTGGAGTGTGGTACATTTATCAAAACCCAGACATCCTCACAAGTACTTTCCCAAGCGTTTATTCGCTTACTCCTGAGGCGCCTCGAGACAGCAACCAGAACTCCACCACCCTCTTTTCCTGGGTGGAAACCTGATGACTCCCTATCACGTCTGTACACAACGTAGCGATCGTCGAATAGCTCAGTGCTTAGGACGGATGAGTTTAGCCAAGTTTCGGTTAGTACAATGATATCATAGTTGCTAGTAGTTAAATTCTGAAAAAACAAATGTGTTTTGGTTCGCAGGCCACGAGTATTCTGATAATATACCTTTAGTTGTTTGAATTTTATATCGGTAATCCATGGTTCATGTGTAATGTTGTATAATAGGTTTCTACTTTAAATTATCCAAAACACTCGCGTCCCTTATCACAATATACCTATCTTGTTCCGTTTTACGAACGAGAATACGACCATTTCTGATCCAGACAAACCTATATCCCTTTTCCTTTGCCACTCGTCTTGCTGCTGCATGTAATGATTTGTTTGATGGAGATAGGTGTTCCGTGATATAAATTGGCAGCTTAGCACCGCTGCACCCAGCGTGAGAGCTGTTAAGCCGGTTCGTAGGATTGGCTCTATTGTAGTTTATTGATGCCACCAAAAACTGATCTCGCTTATTTGAGCTATTTAATTCTACAATAATCGATCTTGGGCGTGAGTTCTCGGGATTAATTTTTGCTGTCCTTGTAATACGCATGATATTTTCATCCTTGATTTCACATGAAATAGTTTTGCCTAGCTTTTTCACTATGGACACTAGGTTTTCTGACTTTTTTTCAGGGAGACACTGTATTTCTATGTTTCTCGATCGAGTGCCTTGTTCAAGCTGGTTTATTCGTGATTTCAAATCAGTAATATTTGAAAGCATAAAAGTATTCTGCTCCTGTAAGTTTTTAATACAGATCTGACTTGTTTTGTGCTCCCTTTCAATGTCTTCAAACTGTTCATTCACAAATTGCATTGCTTGTTTTACGTCTTGAAGCTCGTCCTTTACTTGTCGAAGTTCGATATCCAATATAGCCCGCATTCTTGCACTGAACTCATCTATCAGCTCACTTAAATGACTTTTCAATGCATCATCGATGATTATACGAATCCCCTCGCATGTCAATGGGGCGTCTTCTTTGCTAGAGGGAGATGACAGCGCCGGCCTCTTAGTAGGACGAATAGTTTTGTTGTCGCTTGAGCGAATTGGAGTATTATCATTCCTGCTGCCCTCTAGTGATGTAGGGCGCTGATTTATTGATTTATTCGTGGATGACATCGTATTATTTACCTTGCAGTAGTGCCTGTTAGGTTCTGTATACTTGACTCAGAATGTGCTCATTATAGGATTGTGGTTAATATTTGATGTTTACCCACCAGATGGCGCTGTATTCACAGCAATTTGCAAAGAATACAATAATACAACTTTTATAAATATTTAAATTCTCAAAAACCGATTCACGAGTCTGCGAAAGTTTGATCTCGCCACCACTCAATTTCTTTCTCTAGTAAAACAGTAAAGTTATGCCACCAGGCCAACGATTCACTTAGCTACTAATATGGAATTGGCATCCTTAATCGTCCAGCAAACAGTACGACCAACAAGCGCACAGTGTTGTATTTATTGTTAGATATACCCGTCTTTTGTTTGCGAGTCCACAAGTCACTGGCTTTTTGAATAAAAAACGGTTTTTTTTTGGTCTTTGTTATTGAATTACTCAGCAATACTAGCACTTTTCAATGACACGTTTATTCAGTTACGTTTATTACACAAATACACGTCTTTCAGTGTAAAACACTTCACATATAGATGACTTTAAACCACTTTTTGAATTATTTTGTAACGAGAACTAAGTGAGACAGACTTTCTCCGAACACAGTTATAATTACCTCAATATGTAGGTATATCATCATCAACATCATCATAAGCAGCCTTTAATAGTAAAATGCTGGACATGGGCCTTAGAAAGGAGGTCTTGGCCAACTATGACACGCTGTCCGGGTTGGTATAGGGTTTATTTAATTAAACCACTGTATTGTATAAAAACTAACACTTTTTTTAATTCTCAGAAAGTCGAACCAAGGTACAATTATTTTAATCGGACATGTCAGCGGGTATCTCTAACGTACTGGTATTGGTATTCTAAGATCGTGCACCAGGGTTATTAATTTTAAAAAAAGTACGTAATGTATTTCTAAACTGATACAATAATTTTAAGGCAGATTGAGAACGGTTTGAGAACCGATGGCAACTGGTGACTCGAGATCCCACTGGTATCGCTAGTGGTAATGTGTCGGGCTCTGGGATCTATTTTAGGTAGTCACCGCGTACTTGAAATTCGTACTTAATGGCTTGACTCTGGCAGTAAGATCCTAAATCCGTAACGATTTATTCACTTGCATCAATGAGGTACTTTGCTCTTATTAAGTGATTATTGAATTTGTCCTATGTCTCACTCAATCGAACTCCTCTTGATTCTCATACCAGTTCAGCTTAAATAAAGTATCTGGAACTGCAAGAGCACTGACGGCAACTTGCTCCAAAGTTCAATAATAGCTTCATAGATTAGCTTTGGGGATTGTCTAGTCAATGACACTGCTGTGTGTCAATATAAGCGAGGACCTGGATAACATAGCTCATCCTATATAATAGATCAGATCCATAAGTGGAAATTTATCTTCCAATGGCTAAGTTCTGGAAGTTTTCAAAAATGTATTTATTATACTTATTTACAAAACGGACACGGTCAAGAATGTCCTCTCGCTCCCATTTTTAAAAGTCCATAAATATGTGTAGAAATGTCTTAGTTAAAAAAATTATAATTATGACATACTAAAAACCAATACAATCCCTATACCAACCCGTCTGGCCAGCGTGGTATAGTAGGCCAAAACCTCCTTTCTAAGGAGAGGCCTATGTCCAGCAGTGGACTATTAAAGGCTGTTGATGTGATGTGATTGATGTGAAAAGCCAATAATATATTGATGCCTTCATAATCTTTAGTTAATGCATGTGATTTGGTTTTTATTAAAAGAGTTCAGACAAAGCGGTGTCGCGACGGTGAAACATTTGATTTGTTTCACATCACTAGCTTGTTTGTTTTTTTAATGTCATTTCGTTTGACTTAAAGGTCTTAGTTACCAGTTCATTAAATTCCAAAAAAAAAAAAAAGGTCATTTCGTTTTGTCAATTTCAATGTCAAATTCAGTTGGATGATATTTTGGCAATACTTGATTGCGAAAATCGAACACATTTTTTTTTCATTTTATAACTTATCCGTTTGACTTAACACAGACTTTTTATGACAATGTTGCTTAAGAAACTATACACTCTTGTCTTTATACAAAAAGATAATCAGATATTATTGGGTTTAAAAAAGCGCGGATTCGGAATGAACAAATGGAACGGGTTTGGCGGCAAAGTTGAAACCCATGAAACGATTCTTGATGCTGCTGCTCGAGAATTGAAAGAAGAGTGTTGTATCGATGTTAAAATAAGTGATTTAAAGAATATTGCGCATCTGGAGTTTACTTTTGAAGGGGAACCGTTACTTATGGATGTACGAGTATTTACGACAAATATTTTCGAAGGCACGCCAAAGGAGACAGAAGAGATGTTACCAAAATGGTACACGGTTGAAGACATACCTTTTAATGATATGTGGCCTGATGATAAATTGTGGTTTCCATACATGTTGAAAAATAAAAATTTCTATGGTCGTTTCCATTACAAAGGATATGATAAAATATTGAACTACAAAATTGAAGAACATGAATCTATGGAAGCTTTTTATGCCAATCGTAAAAATTAATAATAAGTAATATCTGTAACCAGTAGTTTAAGTGAAATTGTAAGCAAAACTTGTTCTTTAACTGTGATCAATGTGATTGTTAAATACCAAGAGTATTACTTCTATATAATTGTTCAAGGACCAGATGGCATAGTGGTTTGTGTAACGGACTGCTATTCCAAAGGTTTGATTCCCGCTCAAATCAAACATTTGTGTTCATAAACATTTAATGTTTGATTTGGTCTGGGTGTTTCTATGTATAATATGTATGTATTTACAAAAAAAAAGGTATATGTGTATTTATATCAGTTGTCTAGTACCCATAGTACAAGCTCTGCTTAGTTTGGGACTAGATGGCGTTGTGTGAATATGGTACAATATTAATTGTTTAATTTTATAGTCCTTAAGTTTAATCTTTAAATTCATTTTGCCAAATACCACTAGACTGTGTTTGCTAATACTTTTCTATTAGAATACACTAAAAATTGATCAAAACTTTCAATATTTTATTTATTTATTTGAAACATATATTACATATATTATATATATAAAAAATACCCTTACCAACTCTAAAAATATCTAATATATAAAATTTGTTGTGTTTGTTACCAAACTCCTCTGAAACGGCTGGACCGATTTTCATGAAATATTGTGTGCATATCGGGTAGGTCTGAGAATCAGCCAATATCTATTTTTCTTACCCCCCAAAAGATAAGGGTGCTTTGTAATTAGTCCGTAGAATTATAAAGACCGTTTTCCTTAGTTATTCAGTTAGATCCAGAGCATGAAAGATTATTGTTTAATTACTTCTTCAATGAATTATTTATCTGACTCAGTTAAGATATCTTAGTGGTGTATTAAACATTTTGCCAACTTGACTCAAACCTATTACCTTCAAACTTACTAAAACCGGTACAGAATCAAATTGATTCTGATAGTTAAAAACCTGAAAGAAAGGAAGTACAACCAATCTGTGGAACGGGTTATCGTCTACACTATTTCCAGACCGATACACCCTTCAAACCTTCAAGAAAAGAGCGTACTCCTTCCTAAAAGGTCGGCAACGCGTTTGTGACTCCTGTGTTGCAAACATTCATGGGGGGCGATGGTCACTTTCCATCAGGTGACCCGTCTGCTCGCTACCCCCTCTAATATAAAAAAAAATGTAGTTATATTTATTATAAATAACATATGTAGTTATATTTATTATAAAAAAAAATGTAGTTATATTTATTATATATAACTTGTTTATTTTCTTTGCTGGCTGTAGTTTACTATAATTCACTTAAATTAATATAATAATAATTGCTTAATATAATAATAATACTTTTATACATGTATGACTAGTTACAATACTTAAAAGTTAATAAGAGAAGTTGAGAGTAGATTGTAGTTCCATCAACAGCCTTTAATAGACCACTGCCAGACATAGGCCTCTCCTTAGACAGGAGGTTACTGGCCTATTATACCATGCTGGCCAGACGGGTTGGTATAGGGTTTGTTTTAAGTTTTCCTTCCCTTTGCAGTGCTGTTATCGTGCGTAGTTGCACGTTGTCCCTTAGTCGACTCTTACGGCACCCAGGGAAAAAATAGGGGGTGTGACTCTCCCTTTTCTTAAACCGTCACCTCACAGAGAGATTGTAGCTTATGTTGTCCAATATGTTACTATTTATGTTTGACAGAAACATACAGAAACACTTATCTTATAATAAAACTCCTCGAAAGAGCTGGCAAAAAGGTAAGCACATTCACTATTCCTACTAATTTGTACATATGTGGGATACAGAATGAGATTCAAATACAATAATGGTTCCATGTTTGCCACTGCACAGATTTAAATCTACATATGAAAAGGTGCAGGTGTAGGAACACTCATTAGAGGCGAGTCCAAATACTCCATGTCGCTACTACTAGGCATGGGCTCTGCCTGAGTTGTCAATTTTTGCTGTAAAGTTTCATAGAGCTTGTGCACAGACTCATTGTGCTGTGTACCTGGTTGAAGGGCTTTCATCAGAGTTTGTACTCTTGTCTCTGGTAATTTAGTATGAATATTCCAAAGCAGTTTCAGTAAATGTCTTGTAACATTGTCCTTTGAAAGCCCGGCAAAGAAAAATTCATCAAACAATACGGTACTAAAGTCTTCACCGTGAAATTCATCAGGCCATTGTACTAGTAAAGAAACAAGCGCATGTAAGAATGGGTCTTCATATGCTCTGCTGTCTTTACAACTGCCTAAAATACTCAAAATACGTAAGAGCGCCCCTCTATCTCGCACCTTTGCTGCGTGAAGTGTGTAATACATCGCAAGGATACCGCAAACCGGACTTTCTCTCATATAAGCTTCACAAGCATCAGGAGGGGGACCTGAATGTTCAATAGTAGTTATTGCTGACTCTCTTTCATCTGGAGGTAGTTTATTGTGTAAGGCTCGCACTTGGTCATCTACCATCAGTGACATTAAAGCCGGTAAATATTTCGTGACCACTTGACTGTCCATTTTGGGCTCCTTAAATTCTTGTGAATCAATCATTACCCAAGCACTTAAACCTAATGCTAACATCCGAATTAGTAGAATTAAAATAACGTTATCCCTCGGAAGACCTTCTGTGTTAATTAAATGTTGTAATATCTTAATAGCAGATGTAGCTAAGAAGTTTATCGCATAAGGGTCACAGAGTGTCATTGATAAATCACCTAACACTTGCTCTTGACCTTTCTTAATGCTGTCTAAAAACCCTTGGAGTTCTCTAGATCTCTTTATATCTACATTTCTCTCCCTGATACAGGCATCTAAGCACCAAGTGAATTTGTGACAGGGGTCTACAGCTATGATCTTTTGTATGTCTATATCGTGCAGAGCCATTAACAACTCAGCTCTCAAAGTGCAGTAATGCACATTCCTTGTTCTCAGAAACAATGTACGAAGAAATTGTAACACCATGTCATATAGTTTTACACTATAGCCGATCATATGCGCTAGTCTTGTTACAACAGAACCTTGTCTTCTTCCTTTTGGTGATGATGAAAAGAATAGATTTGTGTGATTTTCATGATCAAACAAAACATTCTCTTTTTCCCTTATGTACTGGCTCAATAATGGTGATACCTCATCACCAAACAAAGATTGGTTATCCTGCCATATTTGTCGTTTTACCTCTGTGGCCGTGTCGTTATACAATTCCCTGTCTCTAACTAAAACTTTGAGGTACTTATCATCAATATTGGGTGTATTTTTTAAGATACTCATAATTACAGGTCTTAAAGCCTTCACTCCAACCACGAGAAAGCTTTTAGAAAGTAGTTCTTTAAGCTTTTTGTCAGTTTCTTTGCCATCTTTACCTACGGGCTCGTTTATGTGAGCAATCAGTTTGTCTCTCAATTCTTCAAGTACAGATGTGTGAAAGTCCAGCCTACGCACTCCATGAAGGTCTAGTAAAGGCAGCATAGGTCGTAAAGAAGGTAACAATATACCATTCTCTAGCTGGAACTCTTCAATGGCCTTTAGAGGGTCGGTGCAGCTAGTAAGTGCATCACGGAGAAAAGACTGGCCGGGCACTCCCGCTTCTTCTAATCCCGTACCGGTTAGTTTACTGGAGGAAGCCATGATTTATTCGCAAACTAATCATTCACTATTACGGGTGTTTTCATTGAAGTTAAGTTAATTTTAATATTGTGGAATGGTCCATTGTCGTTTGTAATTTTGTAATGTCAAATCTATCAAATTTTGTTTACCCACCTTAACTTTTTTTTTACACTGTTTGTCTTCTGTTCTTTTGTCCCGTCAAGCTCAAAAGTGATCGAGCATAACGTAAGTTAATAAACACGGAGTTCGTGTCCAAAAAAAATATTTTAATATTAAACTTGACGTAAAATAAATAATACAATGACGTTTTTGTGGCATCTTAACAGTATTAAGAAAACATTATTGATATTACTATCTATTTACATAGCTTTTATTTAAATTACACCTTAACATCTAAGTTTAAAAAAAAACAGTATAATGTGTTTATTTATATTATTGATTCTATTTCAAGTGTACGGTTTTATAAGCTTTCTTTATCACTCATTAATTTAATACTCTTACAAACTACAACAAAACATTAGGGGATGAGGTTACTCACGTCCGTTGGAACTATCACTTTCCTAGGCCCACCCTACACGTGTCCCCTGACCAAACCTCGGAGTATCGAGCAATCTCCATTGCACAAGAGCTTTCTTATGGGAATAGGCGTTACCCTGTAAGTGACCTAAGCAATTCGACCCTACTCGTGGGAAGAACATGTGTGTGTGTGTGTGTGTGAACATGCAAATGTAAATACCAATAATACAAATTCACCTTTTTTTTTCGTGCGGAAATCTCCTCGGATACCACCTATCGGTGGCATGTCGGACTCGAACCGACTAAAACCGCATGCCGTCTCGGGTAAATACAAATTCACCTAAAATCTTAACCCAACCAATATTTCACAAAGGCCTCTTCACAAATAGTCCAAGATCAAAGTCTTGTGGAAAGTCACCTGTAAGAGACACTAGTAAGCCAATTGATTTGGACAAGTAAGAAACACAATGCAATACCACTGCGGAACCCTGGGAAGAGGCGGCAGGACGAAAAAGACAGGGTAGCCCAGAACAATGCTTGATAGGCCAAAAACAATCAAAACTCAATAGCTACTGGTTGAGTGCACATGTTTCAACTTCTAACAAATTTACTGGGCTTAAAGAGGAAACCTTTGATAGCGTAGAGGAGGCTCCGCCAATATTTGTTGATAAAGTCAGCAACATCCAGCCATTACTTAATATGCTTGAAATTACAATACCAGGAAATTTGGAAAATTTTGTACAAAGTTTGTAAAATCTGTCCTGCTAATACGAGTAATTATTAACCTTTCTGCCACCTTAACCGTAGAGGAACCTAGGTGCACTCTACATAATCGCAGAACAAACTGGTCACTATTCCTTCAATTAATTGATACAGTATTGGTTGAACCAGATAGACTAAAGACTGAGGATGATTTCATTTATGCAGTCGAACATTTTACAAGGTCTCTGCAAGATGCTACTTGGAATTCCACACCATATGCAGGAAAGATTGGGAAAGATGAGCCCATATCCCATCATCTTCTAGAGTTGGTAGCACAAAAGTGAAAATTTAGGAAGCAGTGGCAACTATCACAATGCCCACAAGCGAAAAAGCGGTTTAATCACGCCATCAGAGAACTCAAGAATGCAACCGCTAGAGATCGTAACTTGCCTTTTCAATTGCATCTGAGCGGTCTGGATGCCTCCGCATCATTATACTCTCTGTGGAAAGCTACCAAGAAAATTAAAAGGACGGAAGTGGGACTCGTATGGATGCCAAAAAAGCAAATAGGTACTGTCTCTATCCACTTACAATCCATTTTCAAACCCCATCCAAACGAAGGTGCACCCGAACATATATAAGAGGTGTCTAGCTACTTGGCGGAGGAAGACTCTTGCGGCCAAATGGGTGATGACATGCCCAATTTGAATAACAATGAAGTGGTACGGGCTATAAAAAGAGTGACTCAAAGGCCTCCAGTTTCGACCTCATCACTAGTCGGCTGCTGGCCGAACTGCCATACTCTGCTCACGTGCATTTATAACAGCATGACAAGACTCCGATTTTTTTCCTCCACCGTGGAAGGTAGCCAAGATGATAATGATCCCAAAGCCTGACAAGGCTCTGGAAGATCCTAATTCCTACAGACCTATTAGTCTTCTACCGATTCCTTCTAGAGTTTACGAGTCGTTCCTATTAACTCGCGTGTCATCATCATCATCAACAGCCTATACTAGTCCACTGCTGGACATAGGCCTCTCCTTAGAAAGGAGGTTTTGGCCCACTATACCACGCTGGCCAGACGGGTTGGTATAGAGTTTGCTTTGGTTCGCGTGTTACCAATAATTAAATCAAAACATCTGATTCCAGACCATCGGTTCGACCATAAGCATGCTACTTTCGAACAAATCCACAGACTTTACAGTCGAAATGCACACAGCGTATGAAGCCAAAAAATACTGTGCAGCAGATATCTCGCAGGCCTTCGACCGAGGCTGGCACCAGGGTTTGCTTTACAAAATAAAAAAATCCATGCCCCATCATCTGTTTGTAAAATCAAAGCTTTCATAACTGATCGTCACTTTATGTTTCAATGTGGAAACCTTTGCCCCATCACAGCGGGGGTTCCACAGGGAACTGTAATTGGTCCAATCCTCTAACTGCTCCTGCTCGAATTTACATACCAGTGGAAAAATCACAACAGGTAATTTTGCTGACGATACAGGCATTCTAGCCACCCATAGTCAGCCAGAAATCGCAGCCAAACTACTACAAGAAGGTTTGGATAACATGGATGGCAGAAGTTAAACTTTACTTTCACCCTGCGAAGAGACCACTGTCTACCAGTCAAGCTGAACAATGTACACGTCATTCGGGCAGACCACGTGCGGTATCTTGGACCTCGATAAACCTGGAATAAACATTCCTACCAAGAGAAAACAGCTTGGTCTACAGCTAAGAAAACTCTACTGGCTCATCGGTTGTAAATCCCAGTTAACAATGGAAAATAAACTTCTATATAAAGCCATCCTCATACCTGTGTGGACGTACGGCATACAACTACGGGCAACACCCCCACACTCCAGAGCTGACATAACATAGAGATCTCACACGTTTTCAAAACAAAATGCTATGCATAGTTACTGGTGCCCCATGGTGTTTGTGACTAAGGAACAAGGAGGAAATAACTCGACACAATAAGGCATACAAGGACAGAAAATTAAACCAGCCAAATATATTGGCCTACCCACTTATGGACAACAGTCTGAAAATACGTCGGCTAAAGTTCAGAATCCCACAGGATATGCTGTGATGAAAGCACATTAAACTAGAATAGGGTACGGCACTGTATTGCTTAATGTCCTGATAAAGAGACAGATTGCTGTATTAAGTGAACAAACAAAGAAAAAGTAGGTTTTATTAGGTTTCTTTATCACTCATTAATAAAATACTAATAATACTCTTACAAACTACAACAAAACATAAAACAACAATCTTTTTAGTTAAGTTGGATCATATCCCACACTTTGGAATTGTTTTCGAGCACTGAAGTCCATGGCTTGAATCTCTCAAACAATCATTGTTCGCCAGGGTCCTCGCCCTCAGCAAGTGCGGTGCGGGCGAGGTTACGTGCCAGCGCCAGGCGGAGCAAATCCGCTTTTTCAGCCTCCAGGTTTGAAGGCTTCAACTCCAGACATAGCATAATTTCGTAAGTGTCTTTTGATGTGAATACTGGCTCGTCACGTTCAAGGAGCGCCAGGGTGTCTAGAAGCAGTGTCTTCCAAAAACTATAAATAGAAGATTTTCCATGTTAGAAGTGTATTGGGGTTCATACATACCTGGATACATTCATGCTTGTATCTCTAAAGGGTAAGGCAGATGCCAAATAAACAAAAATGTAAGTTGTACTTACTAATCTGGTGCGATTTTGGATGTAATCAAGGACACCAATAGATCACCAGCTTTCTTGAATTCTCTCGAGTTGTACAGCCGATGGAAATCGCAGTATTTACCTGAATATAGATATCAGAAGAAAAGAAGAAAATTAGCCATCAGGATTTCGGAATCTTAATTGAAGATATCCTTAGACAGTTTTTATGTGACGCACTTAATGCGGAGGGTTAGATGGGATGTTTTGGCGACACGTGGCATGGCATGCCCGCGCTATGTGGCGGTATGTGTATGTTATATAAAATTCGGTACTTGTTGTTTCTACAAATTAATTTCGATGTGTCATACCTTCCAGACGTCCAGTGACAGCTCAATTTTTTTATGTGATTATTATTATTACAGAAGGTTTCGTTTATTTAGACAAATAGCGGGATTCATGGTTAGTTGACCTAGGCTCGATCTTGACATAAACTTTAGTAGAATTATTAAAGGATTCTGCTTTTTTATATATGTTAGGATTTTATTTTGGTTGGTTACTTTGACATGACATATGACAACCGTTGGGAAAAACCAGTTCTTGAGTGGAGACCGCGTCTCGGCAAACGTAGTGTAGGACGCCCACAGGCCAGGTGGAGTGACGATTTGCGCAAGATGGCTGGCAGGAGTTGGATGCGAGAAGCCCAAAATCGATTTAAGTGGCGTGCAATAGGAGAGGCCTATGTCCAGCAGTGGATTGCGATAGGCTGATGATGTGTGATGTGATGGTGTGAGTGTGTAGTGCGATGTAAATAATAATATTTGGATATCTAATACACACAATGCCATCTAGTTTCAAATTAAGCAGAGCTTGTACTATGAAAGCTAGATTGACTGATAGAATATTTATATATATATTTTTTTTGTAAATACATACATATTTTACATACATAACACCCAAACTCCGAAACAAATATTTGTAGATCATACAAATATTTGGTCTGACCAGGGAATCGAACCCGAGACCTTTCCGAGGCAGTCAGGGTTTGTAGTGCAACGGTAGTGGTGAGGGTGGGGACGGGTAAATTTATTTGCTTACTATTTGACAAAACAGAGATTTTGGCTTTTGTGTGGACTTTAAGAGTCTACATAGAAGATGATTTCAAATGATTCTAAAAGTTTTATGAAATAAAGAGTTTGAGTTTGATATAGAATGGTTGTAAGTAGCGTAGATATCATAGCGAGCATCAAATACCCAAAAATAGCAGCGCGTCGGACAGCAGCACGGCGGGTCCGGCGGTGAGCAGCAGGTCGCGGGCGGCGAGGGAGGCGGCCTGCGTGTAGTGGCGCAGCGCCGCGTGCGCCGCGCGCTGGGCCGCGCCGGGGCAGCGCGCGCGCACCGCCCAGCACAGCGCCGCGCCCAGCCGCCGCGCCTGCAGGTGTCGCGCGCACGCGCACCGGGACAGCGACGGGGCTGCCGCAACCGACAACACCCTTCTTACTATCTCTCTTAGACGTCACGACACGTCACTGACTAATGTAACAGTCTTATTTTTTTTTAGACAACTCCCGCATTAGGAATATATCCTCCGGGGAACTTTACAAACATACATGAAACGGACACAAAGAACACGCAAACTCAGAATAACAATTTGTGGATCACACAAAGTCCCGTCCCATGTAGGGTTTGAACCCACGACACTCGATGTAGTAGGAAGCGGCGTGGCGACCGCTTAAACCACTACGCCATCCGTACTGTCAAACATTTATTCACAATTATTTCCAATAAAATTCAAATAGCTTTAAATTTCGCTTTACTTACTTTAATGTAATTTCTTCTCTAAGAATTTTAGAAATAACACAGTAATGTTTTGCTAGAGATTTCTATCGTTGGAGGACCATACTACAGCAAATATGGGAAGTAATATCACAACCTCACAGAAAACCAGTGTTAAGTAATTTGAAGGGGGGGGAATGCACTCTTAAGGTGCTAGTGTCCCATGACCAACAAGAGTCACTTACCATCAGGTGACCCGTCTGCACGTTAGCCACTGTCACATAAAACAATATAACAATACCCAAAAATATTAGCAACTTACCGATACCAGCGATGCCGTATTTTTTTGCCTCAGCGACAATCCTCATGGCTTTAGCTTCAGTATCGATCGGTATCCTCTCTAAGATTAATTCCGCCCTCCTTAACCCCTCTGGCGGGACGGTCGCCAAGTACGAGAGTCCCACGGACCAGAGTGACTTGTGTTCCATTAACAGAGATCCATACTCCAAGATCAGACTCTCGCGAACCTTTGCAGTAACACTAAAAATATATTAAACAACATTTTTTATAAAGATTATTTACAAATAATAATAAAACGTAATGCAACATAATGACCCAAACTAAGCAAAGTTTGTTTTATAGTTCTAGTACATACATATATAAATACTTATTTAAATGTATAACCTCTTTTCGATTTCTGCAATTGATTAATGAAGGGAAACCGAAATGTGCAACAAAAATCCAAGAAAGCGCGCTCTATTGGATTCCAGCAAAGAGCTCGCCGTGCCGCCGTGAATTGGCCTTCAGATGCCGTAGGTGAGATGACACACACTATGTCATCTCACCTAGGGCATCTCAAGGCCAATTTTTGTTTGTTTTCTTAAAAGACAACTCCCGCACTAGGAATAAATCCTGTGTCGCGGGGGACTTTACTAACATACATGAAACAGACACAAAGTACACCCAGACTCAGAACAACAATTTGTGGATCACACAAAGTGTTGTCCCATGTGGGGTTTGAACCCAACTTTCTGTTTTCTATTATGGCGTAGTGGTTTAAGCGGTCGCCACGCAGCTTTCTATTACCCAACACTCGGCGTAATAGAAAGCTGCGTGGCGACCGCTTAAACCACTACGCCATCCGTGCAGTCAAATTCTAGCACGTCGTGTGTCATCGTCATATGCAACTACTGTAAGGTCCGCTTATTGGAGTTCACTCCTTAAGAATCGATTTTCATATAAGGCGCCCGGTATGGAACAAAAATGAAGAGTAAAATTTAATGATCGAACGACCTCGTTACGTTTTTTGTGCGCAATCTATCGTACGCACCTTTCACATGTGTGTGTATAACTCAAGTTGTGCGTTTGAGCAACACACACTTTACATTATTACATATTCATATAGATATTTATACCGAGTGGGGTGGCAGCCAAGGGGCTTGTGATTCCCGAACACTAATCTACATATATTAGCTTTTACTACCCAGCTGTATCCATCAATGCCAGGCCCGCTTATGTGTATAGCAACCCCTACACATACTAATGATGAGCAGGGCACAGGTATCTAGTCCCCAAACTTATGTCTCCTAGCTACACTCACTGATACCAAAGTGATTGACAAAACATAGAAATAGCCACTTTTGGTCATTTCTTAAATCAATATTAGATGCTAAAACTCACTTGTTGTGATGGTCATCCAATATCTTCAGTTTACCACAATGAAACAGCATGTCCGTCAGATGGGTTGCAAACCAACCATTGTCTGATATTTGTTGTATTTCATGAATTAACTGAAAAACAAATACGGTCATTTATATCATAGTTTTATTAAACATCTTGTATACTTTTTTAGTTACATGTAATATCTTGTTTACCTAACTTACTTTTACTTAATGTTAACTTTAATTATACCTATTAATTAATAATAATTACTAATAATAATAGTTAATAATAATAACACTTAGCTAAGGTTATTGGCACTCTCAACACTTGCCATTCAGCTAAGTTATGCTTGTTAACCCCTCAAGGGTTACCAAGCATTAACAAATAACAAATTACTAGTAATAGGCGACCTACATTGCTAGTATGTTCTAAAATAATAATTTAATGTGAAATTTCTACAGATCAATAGGCCTCTTAATATTAAACTTTAACTGTGTACTACGTTTTGATAACTAACTTCCCGTTTTAACAGCGACAGAAGCCTATGAGCTTGGTTGGCTCACCTAGTCAACCTTGCCTCAACACAAAAAGGACCATTCTCAACTCTAAATGCGGAAATCGAAGTCCACAACCAACACCCCCTTTAACTGATGAAACTAACAGTACAGACCTGATGCAGATCACCTTCCAACAGCGCTCGCACCATATCATCCAGCTTAGTTCTTCCGGGGGCCATGCCTGCGCAGGCGCTAGCAGCCGCGCCCAACTCGTGCCGGCGAGACCACGGCGCGGTGAACATCACCCAGCCACCGAGCAAGTCGAACCAAGAGGAGTAACGCCCCCGGATAGACTCAAAAGCCTTATACTCGCCGGTAATTAGCTGAAAAATGTATGAAAATATGTATCTACCGGAGCTACTATAAATGACACATAATTTTGTTTTATATGTCTTAGAGTGCACGGATGGCGTAGTGCTTTAAGCGGTCGCCACGCCGCTTCCTACTACGCTGAGTGTTGTGGGCCGATCCCACATGGGACGACACTTTGTGTGATCCACAAATTGTTGTTCTGAGTCTGTGTGTTCTTTGTGTCTGTTTCATGTATGTTTGTAAAGTCCCCCGCGACACAGGATTTATTCCTAATGAGGGAGTTGTCTATTAAAAAAAATAAAAGTATGTTACAGATTTTAAACTTCTATATTAAGTGTCAGATGCAGCTGACAAATAATAATGTTCATAACAAAAAGGGAACAGCAATTTAATTTTTTGGGGAAGCAAGTGAATTTTTTGACTTGTGACTTTTGAGTTGCAGGTGTCCATGGGCAGGTGTCCATCAGGTGACGCGTCTGCTCGTTAGCCCCCTTATACCAAAAAATAAAATTATCTGGTCTGGTTTCTGAGGTATTCTTCTTGGCACCTTTTCAATTAAACAATCACTGTCTAACAAACCTTGCACATTAAGTCAAATTCAGAACTAGAATGCTAAGCCACGCCATGGTATACCATGTTTGCATCAATAGGAAGTAAATAGAATTTCGTTAATAACAAACTATACAAAAATACATCAAAGGAACCATTGCAATTGCATACTTACTCTGATAATAAGCTCAAGTTTGGGCTGTGACGATAGTACCCCACTACTGAGCTTAGACCTGCACTCTGCCTGCCAGTGCTTCCATAATATCTGGAATTCTCCTGTAGAAATACCACCATAAACCTGGAAAGAGAGTTATAAAATTTTGAAATTAGAATTTAAATAGGAAAGTTTTCAATAATTATGTCATTTATAAATCAAATTTAATAAGTACTTTTATGGGTCATCTATACAAATAAATAAAATTGGAGTGTCTGTTTGTAATATTAAAATAACCGCTTTTTACTAAATGCATATGTATGTTTACATGTACATATGCCAAAATAATATTTTTTACAATTTTTGTCTGTCTGTCTGTTTGTTCCGGGTAATCTCTGGAACGGCTGGACCAATTTCGACGGGACTTTCACTGGCAGATAGCTGATGACATAAGGAGTAACTTAGGCTACTTTTTTTAGGCTAGCTTCGCCCCGCGGCGTTGCCCGCGGTTATAACAACAAACGCGGGTAACACCGCGGGTCTCAGCTAGTCTAACATATAAAATTCTCGCGTCACGTGGTTGAACTCCTCTGAAACGGCTCTACCGATTTTCCTGAAATTTTGTGTGCATTTCGGGTAGGTCTGAGAATCGGCCAATATCTATTTTTCATACCCCTTATTATTATTATTTTTTGACAAATTTAAAAGAATATATTTGGCAAAACAACTTTTGCCAGGTCAGCTAGTAATTTAATAGTTTCATGATATGGACTGTTTATTTTCTTGATACAATGGATTAAAACATTTTTATAACAAAAGCAAGTAAATATCTTTATATATATAATTCTTCTGTGAGTGTGTATGTCACTGAACTTCTCTCAAGCGACTTGACCGATTTTGATGAAATTTTTTGTGTGTGTTCAAGGGGATCTGGGAATGGTTTAGATTCACAATTTTGAATGGTAAGGGTAACCCATCCCTAATTTTTTTTTTGTTGCAATACAACGTTTGCCGGATCAGCTAGTGTATAAATAAATCTATACAAAAAATTGAAGTGTTCGTTTGTAATGTCAAAATTATAGGTTTTCTTCATGCTGACATGGTTATTTGCGCAATACCTATGCCTATGCCTTTGTCCTGGGTGGGAATTGAACATACAACTTCTGGTTCAGTAGTCAGCATACCTAACCACTGCACCAATAGGGTTAAATTATTGCCATACTAAATTTCATCTAAATCAGTTTAGTGGTTATTGCTTCCTCATAAAAATTTAAATCCTCCTTTTCACCATCTTAATGAATGATTTCTAAGATAAAAACTAACCTATATTCATCCCGGGACTTAACTATCTCTATACCAAATTTCATCTAAATCAGTTGAGCAGTTCAAACGTGAAGAGGTGACAGACACACTTTATAATATAATGTAATAATATATCTCACACACTCACACACGGCCGTCTGATCCCAAACTAGGCAGAGCCTGTACTTTGGTAACCAGACTGCTGATAAACATACTTATATATTTCTAAATACATACATATTATAGATAAATTACACCCAGACACAGAACAAATGACCGTGCTCATCATACAATACTTGTCCTGGGTGGGAATCGAACCCACGACCTCCGGTTTAGCAGTCAGAGTCACTTACCACTAGACCAACAGGCCCGTCTTGCATTTATAATGTTAATATGGAAAGTATGGATTAAATTCTAATATGCTTACATTATAAACAGGCATACTCCTCAATGAATTATCCACCAGCTTGAAGTCATTACTTTCACCCTGAGAATGTAGTTTTAATAACGCTCGAGCTACATCCACTCTTCCTTGGACTATCATCCCAATTACCGTGTCCCAATAATCCTTATCATCTTCTGCTCCCCGTTCACATGCTTCCAATAACTTTCCAGCTGTCTGTTCATGACACGGGAAATTAAATCTTACCCATTCTAATAGATAAGGCACGACAACATCTCCAGGAATACTATCTACAAATAAGATCTCACACAAGTGCCAAATGCATTCTATAGAAAAAAATATTGTAATGTAGGATGATGATGTGTTCCTATCATCACTGTTTAACTCCTGTTCAGAGGCCTTTTGGAGGCTCTCTATGCACACTCGGATGATTGACCGAAATTGTCGAGATAGTTTTAAAAATTCAACTTGGTTATCTGAATTTTTTGCAGTTTCAGCCGCTTTTTGTAGCGAGAGATATGTGCCATTGGATTCATTAACAAGTCTTCTAAGAATCGGTCGGAAAAGTAAAACATCTTGACGGATACTCAACAGTTTATTCTCAGAGTTTTCCGCGGCATTCGGTGTTTTACTCTCTGTGTGGCTATATGGATATATCGTAAATTTGTTGCCGCGTCCCCATGCACATCCAACATATTTTTTGAAGCATTTATCCGGCAATACCTGCACAAAACGTTTTCTCATTAATTCTGTGGAGAACATAAAAAATTATGTACTTCCATTTCTGTAACAGAGGCAATCGAACGTAATTTTGTCACTGAATTTTTCGTTTATTACGTTTTTGATTTGGTACAATTTGTTAATTATTTGAAAACCAACATAACCTAGCTGTTTAAACAAAACTTACAAAGGTTTTTGCAGTATTAGCAGTTAATGCCCTATCCTGGACAGCACCAAATGCAAAACTTGAGCTATTCATGTTGTTATTGTAAATAAACATACATTAATTTATTGTTTGAATTTGATTCTAAAACAAGAAGAAAAAGAATTGAAAGACCGTTTAATGTTTGGATTCTGACACGGACTTACACACAGATGATACCACAGAGTATACAATACAGCCGAACTTACCAGCTAATCAGAGTTGTCAGCTAGTATTCTATAATTCTATTGGATGTAGGCTTAATGTACCTACGCGCCACAAACTTACGTTCAAACATCGCCGACTATTTCTATTCCATTAAATGCTTTTTATATGATAGTTGTAAGAGTTTAGTGATTACATAGAACAATCCTTAAATCTCGCATCAATGTATTGCACTACCTCAACAGCTCCTGTTAGTGTAAGTGATTCACGAAGGCGCAAATTTTATTTTTTATATTGGATGTTTATACAAATAGTTCCCATACATCTTACAGTTTTTGTTATTATATTATATTATTTAGTTTTATATTTATCTCATAAAATACAAAATCTTATAACAAAACGACCGACATAACTAAACTTGCACACCGTTACAAAATTAACACTGATTTTCATTGATATGATCAAATCAGACGATCCTGTCAGGCACATGACCCGGGATTAGGTAATTTAAGCTCACAAGAGTTAATAGGCGTATATGAAAGGGATGCGCAGTCCAGTTTCGGGGTTACGGTATACTGGTAAAGTCTAATTAGCCTCGAAGAAGCTCGATGTGCTGAACGAATCGAGGCAGTATTTTACTCCAGCCCACCGCCACCAACTCTATAAGGTGCAAATCTAGCCGCACATAAAGCACAGTTCACATCTCTATTAACCATTAATACCATCTTCTTCCTCTGGACCGCATTCAACGAAGAGCGACTCCAATCGTCGATAGCCAAAAGATCTCTGATCGGCTCTATCCCTTGGCGACACGTAGAGATGGAATGTTATGCCATAGCTTTACTCTACATTCTCTATATAGGGAGGGATTGTGTTGGCTTCGAGGGATTGTTCGGACTAATAACGGCCGCAACTTTCCGCCATCGTTTCACACGGCAAAACTTTTACCCCCTCATTTGGATAATTGACAGTCCACCCCTGTGCGCTATTCAGGACACTTATTGTCTCGCACAACCAATCTGTAGAACAGTTATCGTCTGCGGTATTTCCGGATCGATAATACCTTCAAATCTTCAAGAAAAGAGCAAACTCCTTTCTCAAAGGCCGGCAACGCGCTTGTGACTCCTGATTTGCAGGCGTTCATGGGCGGCGGTAGTCACTTTCTATCAGGTAACTCATCTACTCATTGGCCCTCTCTTCCATAAAAAGAGAAGGTAAGTTGGGTTTTCCTTAATATTTACTTTTGAACTAAGGCTTTTGACTTCCACAACGCAAAGCAACTAGCGGGTGCATGCCATCATTAGCTAGAATATCACTATTGCCATTTGCTTTCATATATAAAAATAAATGAGAATCTGTAACAAGAAACGAAACATAAAGTTGGCGTTAGGAGTTAGTACTACTTTGGTAAACAATTGATAAACATGATTAACGAATCTTTGATATTTTTTTGGAATTTTATACATCACAAAAATTTATTGTAGTTAAAAATCATGACCCCATAGGTAGACTCTTACTGCAAAATTAAAATACACAAAACTGAAAGATGGTTACAAAATTGACGACTTAAAATAAATTGTTCTAAGATGTGAATCAAAAATGATGTTACCACTGTAATTTAAAATAGTATTTCCACATATGATGTGCTTTGGCACTGCAAAGAAAGTTTATCATAAGTGTTAAGATATTTATTGAAGTTTACCCGGGATAGGGCCTGGTTAGAATGGTTGTCGCGGTAGTTTTTAGTGGAAGCAATATATATATCAGCACGGGCCAAGAGGGCTGGTACTTTTCCAGGAGCAAAAACCGAAAAGATTTTCCATCCCGTCAACAAAAAAAGTATAAAGATAGTTTTCTACTCGTATCGCATCTATTCACTGATTTTACATTGGGTGTCGACTCTGCTTCATTTTATCGGCTATCCCATATCTGGGGGCAATACCCCTATAAAAATTAACCCTAAATACGGCAATGCAAAAGTTAATCACATATACGCTAGGCTAACTTTGTTTTCCCAAGCTTTCCGGATATTACAAAATTTTAGAAGTCATACAAATATATAACAATAAACTTTTTGAGAATGTCATCGTTGGAGACGGAAATTGGCGTAAGATAAACAGATAAGGCGGGAATAAAGAATAGGTAAGTTTCGAATGGAGAAATAGAATTGAGATTACAGCAGCTCGAAGAAGATGGGGTCGCGTATCCACAGTCTATCCGACCTATCATTGAAGAAATCACTAGGATTCTTATATGTAAATTAAAAAAAGATTCCGACGAATTGAGAACCTCCTCCTTTCGGTCGATCCAAGTCGTTTAAAAAGTATAATAATATGAAGTACGTACACACATTTATATAATTATTCGTCTTTAGAATCTCGTTGAATGAATGAAATACACTCAATGGGTGGGTAGTAAGTAGTACGAGTAGTAGCTACTAGCGCCATTTCTTATTGCTAGTACTCGTATTGCAACTATGAGAAACTTAAAACTATTGCCAGCTGCTTCAACACACCTCACTCTGAGAAGTTTCTGTTATTGCTTCGTCTGAATTTTTTGTGACACCTTGAATCACCTAATCACAATTTTATATAGATTACGCTATTGAAATGATTGAAATCGCAAGTATTTTCAATTAATGAAAAGTTATTATGACCGGATGACCTGTTGGAGGACATGTTGATTTTGTTACGAATAAAAACGATAATTGTCAATTCGTCAAAAACTGTTTTGTTTAGACGAAAATTTTACAAAATTCTACAGTAAATCGTGTGATAACGTATTGTGTAACGTGATAACAGTATAATGTGTGATATTTATATAAGAAAATAAGTTGACAGAAATATAAACAATCAAAAGCCAATCCGGATTATTTGGTAAGTTTTCGCTATTGCATCAATGTTTGCCCGTCACTAACTTTCTATGTAGCGGTTGCTGACTGTGTGACTGTGCAAGTTAAACGTAAACCTTCACCTCTTCGAATTAGCCGCTAGCGGCAGCCGTAGTTATAGTAAACGTAGCGAGTCTGAGCTGACGTTGGTCGCCGCGTAGTTGCCGTATTTAGGCCGCGATTATCAGCTTTATCGGATGCCTGTGTTGTGTATTCGCGAATCTGGTGGTTGTTTTGTGACGTCACGTGTATGCAAGTTGAATATTCTTTGTGCTAACGTTGCCATTGATATGATAAACATTATCTTCAAATGATACCAGTATCAAGAGAATTACAGATCAGTATATTCCGTTATTCGTTTGCACATCGTACTGTCTGTACGAATAAGTGTTGTAATATAAGTGAATAGTGTAATTCTTAAAGATTTCTCATCTAAATTTGTGTATATTTGTGTAAGTTTTTTTTATTTATACTTTTTATAACCTCTCAGTTCAGTTTTTATTGTAACTAGTGTGAAACCTTGCAAATAACCTTGGGCTAGCTACCTTCTTTCAATTAACACCTTACTTTTTATTTTTAGTGCTTGCTTGGCTAATATTTAACATAATTAAGGTATACAGCACATGCACAGTTATAAAATATTTAATTACACACTGTAATGTAATTTTTATTATCTATGCCACCTTGATTTAAATGACCAAGATAAGATATTGAAGATATTAATTATTAAATTTGTCATCAACACCTACAATGGCTATCATTTGCATTATTCATACCAGAATTATGGTGAAATAGAGAATGACATGCTGTCATGGGTGTTTATAGTTAAGGGAGACCTATTTATTATTCACATCATAACAATAAAGAGTTATTGTTTATATCTTGAATTGACTTTCTCTTTTTAAGAGAGCCAACTTTTCTATAGCAATTTCACCATAAGATACAAATATAAAAACATAGTTTGTCAACTAATTTGCATATAACTTTATATATATGGTGTCAATCCTAAAAGGATAGTAACTATCCATAGATAATGAAAAGAGCTCTTTCCTCCAAGGTCGGCAATGCACTTGCAACTCTTGAGTTGCAAGCGTTTATGGGCAGCGGTAGTCGCTTTCCATCAGGTCACCCGTCTGCTCGTTTGCCCCCTATGCCATAAAAAAAAAACTGACTTGTTCATAAATCAGCCAAAACAGCCAAATATTCCATAGTTTATTAATTAAAAAAATATGTAATAAAAAAATTAAAAATTATCTATGCTAGACAGTGATAAAAGTAGCGTCTTAATAGTAGTAAAATTTTCAAAATCAAATCAGAAATGGTTGAGATTACCTACCAACACCGAACCCTCAACATAACTCTTCTGTTTACACTTTCACTGAATTTAAAATATAGTTAACTTCTTGACTATGATTAGCTCACATATATTATGGTATGCACATCTGGTGAACATGATCTCATACAGTATGCTTACACAATTAGTGGTCTGTTTTTTTTAAGAGACAATTTCCGTGCTAGGAATATATCCTCTGTAGTGGGGACTTTACAGTCATACTTGAATCGGACACGAACTAACATAGTGTTGTCCCATGCTGGGATTGAACCCACAATAAAAAACCACACAGCACTAAGAAGCGGCGAGGGTCACCTTGCCGCTTCTCACTGCGCTGAGTGTTAACTTAATCCGCTATGCCATCCTGCAGTGTGCAGTATAATGCTTAATTGACGAACATTTACTGAACCCCAAAACATGTAAACTTAAGAAGGCTTATTTGATCATACATAAATACTGAAAGCTTAAACCTTTTCTATAAAAATAACTAAAATTAAAGTATCTGTTTGAAATGTCTTAATAATATGGTTTTTTCATGCTCACACGGTTACTTGCATGATAACTGTGCCTAAAAACCAGTTTTTTTTGTCTGCCTGCTTGTTTGTTGCGGGTAATCTTTAAAATGACTGGAGTGATTTTAATATTTTAAATTATTTTACTATCAGGTAG